TGTGGCCAAAGAAAGCATAGCGAAACTGTATTCTTATACTGCATGCTTTTATTCTGAAGGCCAGGTTACGCAGATGTTACCTGAACGCTGCGGAACAGGCCGAGTGTTTTTGCTTTGAGTTGTTCACAAAAGTTTGCATTGTGAAAGACGCCTTGCCTTCATATATGACTGACGGAATTTTCCGGATGAAGGCTCATCGCAGACGCTCACTGGGAAACGAAACAGCCGAGTCACGCGTTTTTGTGAGCAGAACCCGGGACAAAATTTAGGAGAAGAAAAGCATCAAAAAACGAATCACAAAAAGAAAACTCGGGTGCACCTTAAATGGCATTTATCAAGTCGGGACTCTCTGCTTTGATCCAAACACGATCTGCAAATTGCAAACAAATTTGTAGATCAATCAGAAGAAAAGCTTCCCTCCCCTTTCACAGTCCTCACCCTCTAACCTCACTTCCCAATGAGGAATTCCATCATCTTTATCTCACCCCTCTCACCCCACATAAAAAGAAAAAAAAAAAAAAAACAAACACGCCTGTCCCGTCACGCAATGAGCTCAGCGCTATATAGCCCCGGCATCTATTTTTTTGGGTAACCCGAGAGGCGCACCGATAACATCTGCAGAGCCTATAGCGACGAGCGGGCAAGTTGAGGCGTCGGCTGTCACCCGCAAGGCAAACGAGGAACTCCGCCGCACGGCCAAACACAGCTGCTTCGTCTCCCGCGCGGCGGATGTCAGGGTCACACACGGAGCGGGGGAGGAAGAGGAAGGGAGACGGGATAAAAGAGGTAAAATGGAGGGGAGCGGAGAGATTCGAGAAAAGGGAGGACAAGAAGATCAAAAGAGACATTTTCCCTTTTTCGCACGTTTCTTGTCTTGATTGTGTACTCGTTAGTTAGGGAGATTGGGCTTTTGGGTGACATTTTCCAGATGAACCCAAAATGTGAAAATAACCTATCCAGATGATCTTAATTTGAATTTCTCTGAATTTTTGATTGTCCATCTGTAATATTTTATTTATTTATTTATTTATTTTTGTTTGTTTTGTTTTTTTGTATTGATCAATAACAAGCCTCCTGGTTTGCTTTGCCATTCTCGGACAAGTTTGGGCAACGACAGTGTAATGGTCAAAAGCTAAACCTTCAAAATAAAAGCACAGCAATACAATAACGGTTTTGTCACACTTTATTTGGCCGCACTCAAACTATTTTTTTTGGTTGTTCATTGATTACGACCGTGATCATCCTCCATGTGGCCAAAGAAAGCATAGCGAAACTGTATTCTTATACTGCATGCTTTTATTCTGAAGGCCAGGTTACGCAGATGTTACCTGAACGCTGCGGAACAGGCCGAGTGTTTTTGCTTTGAGTTGTTCACAAAAGTTTGCATTGTGAAAGACGCCTTGCCTTCATATATGACTGACGGAATTTTCCGGATGAAGGCTCATCGCAGACGCTCACTGGGAAACGAAACAGCCGAGTCACGCGTTTTTGTGAGCAGAACCCGGGACAAAATTTAGGAGAAGAAAAGCATCAAAAAACGAATCACAAAAAGAAAACTCGGGTGCACCTTAAATGGCATTTATCAAGTCGGGACTCTCTGCTTTGATCCAAACACGATCTGCAAATTGCAAACAAATTTGTAGATCAATCAGAAGAAAAGCTTCCCTCCCCTTTCACAGTCCTCACCCTCTAACCTCACTTCCCAATGAGGAATTCCATCATCTTTATCTCACCCCTCTCACCCCACATAAAAAGAAAAAAAAAAAAAAAACAACCACGCCTGTCCCGTCACGCAATGAGCTCAGCGCTATATAGCCCCGGCATCTATTTTTTTGGGTAACCCGAGAGGCGCACCGATAACATCTGCAGAGCCTATAGCGACGAGCGGGCAAGTTGAGGCGTCGGCTGTCACCCGCAAGCTGCCACTCAGATGCAAGAAGAAGAAGAAGAAGAGAGCAGCAGCTACACACTGCGTCCTGCACGCACCAGTGTTTGGACAGTTGAGTGGGAGCAAACGAGGCAGATTGATCGGGCGGTATTATCGCACGCTGAAAGATGCGGAGCGGCATCAATACGAAAATTTGACAAGTGTGACACAGGCCTGTTCTGTCGTGTCAGTTTGTTTTATCAGGGAAGACATTCGCAGGTGAAGCATTGCCTTTGTTTTGTGCTTGCTCAACATCCCGACTTGCCTCGAAAATTTCAAAGGCAACCAAACTTTGAGAACATTGCAAGTTTGGGAAATTCAACAAAATATTTGACGTTTTGCTGCTGTGAAAATTGCATTCTCGCATTGGCAACAAAGATTGAAGAGTTTACAGAACTAATTGTCCTTTTTTTTGGGCCCCAACTTAAAGATATCAGAAAAAACAAATCCACACCCCCCAAAAAAAAGTTTGCTTTGTTGTCCTAACTAATATTAATTGTTGCCATAGATGTCAATCATTTATATTTTAAAGTTGTTCCACCTTAAATTATTACTTTAGCCCCCCCCCACCCCCCATCCCCCACCCCAAACAATATAAGTTGTGTTTTTTAGGAATTAAGAGGTATAAGCCGCCGCTGGGCCACATTTTTTGCCTTGCGGGCAGAAACATTTGATTCAAGCCCTTTGTGCTGGCATGGACACTGCTCACATAACAGCACTCGATTTGGCTGACAGAATTAGTTTTAAAAAGAAGCTTCAAGATGTTTAGTGCCCGTCCCTGTTGAGATTTACTGTCGATTTAAACATAAAAAGCAAGAAAATTTTATTTAAAATAACCAAAACACTTTTCAGTCCGCTAGCTTAATACTAATGTCAACCAATAATGGGAAACACCATTTTTGTCAACAGTGCCCCCTGTGGTCAGTGGAAGACAAACAGACAGACAGACAGACAGACAGACACATCAACTGTTCATTGAGATCTCTCAACTCGTCTCATCAGTACGGCACTAATATTAGCCATTGTTTGCAAAGGATAAAGAATACATGACATTAAATTTCAATTCATATCGTTTCTGAACAGTTTGTACTTAACTGCATTCCAGAAAGGGTGAAGGACATTTTTTTAGAAACGGGATATGTCTTTTTTATTTTATTTTTGTCTTCATTTCATTCTGCGTACGACCTATGACAAGATTGTAGAAAATCGCCATTAATTTCATGTTAATTACGCCGGTCGCAGTCTTTCATGGCGAATGTCGCGCAGCAGCGTCCAGTGTGTTCCACCTCGGGTGCCGCAGGGCTAAAAGCGTCCATTTGCCCATATCATCCTTCACTTTTAAGTCTGGGTGTGGACAGCAGCGCCTGAATGAGGATCAGTGTCTTTTGCATGTCCCGAACCCGCACCTCAGGCCTCGCTAATCACTCTCAGAACAATGTGATGCAGACCCGCCCGTCTTGTGGGGAGAGTCCAGGAACTGTTCACATACCTGTATATGGTAATGAAATGGCAATGCTTAAAAAAAAAAAAAAAAAAAAGGGCAAGACCTGAAACGAGCGCGCCTGCGTCCAGTTCTCTCTGGCTATGAGCCTAAAAGTCTCCGTTCCCATGCTCACTTTCTTGGCCTCCTTCTGTCATCGTGATTAGACCAGTTGAGGAGATCAGAGGGAGCGAGGCTCGGACCTGCACTGCTGAAAAAAAAACACTACCTCTCCCCTCTCCCCGTTGCCACAGAATTGTGCCAAAAGTTTCCTCGTTGCATATTTTGAGCTGGCCTCCATCGTCACATGCCAGTAATCTTTAAGTAATTGTTATTGGGGGGCAAACATGCACTTTGTTGCTCGTTGGGGTCTGCCGTGAAAATTCACGAAAATGCACTTTAACTTGAAATAAAAGCAAATGGCATTAATCTATCGCAGCTTTCCCCCCCAAAAAACAGCAAAAATAATGTTGTAATGTGTATTTTAATGAGGATAAAGAGCACCCCATAATTTTTATATTTTATTTTTAAAAAAATCGACAGTATTGTTAATGTTTTATCTCATGTGTTTTATAAAGTTGTGAACGTGCGACAAAAGTTGTGTTGAGTTGAGTCACGGCATCATTAAATACAATTTCAGAGTGATTCTACTTTTTGTTCCATTTTGACTTTTTTTTACTCCATTTTAAATAGTTTTTTTAGCAATTTGAGATGTCTCAACTCCTCTCATGTCATCAGTAAAGCACGAATATCAGGCATTCTTTGCGGAGGATAAAGAATACATCACACTACACTCTGAAGAATTGATACTATTATTGCGAAGGGACTTTGCTGCCACCAAACTGCGCTTGTGTCTTAAGTCAAATTACTCGAATCTCAAGGAACAACTGAAGGGATAATATGGCATCATAATTATTTCCAAGGCCACATTTGTTTGGCCTGAAATTATACATCTTTTTTACCCAAGCATTTTATGCAGGTTAGCAAGTCTATACCATCTTATGTTGACTTATGGGAGTCCAGCAGGGGTCTTTGGCCCCGCTTGTCATAAGGACACCACCACTTTTCATTTTCTCATAACCTTCATCCCTCCAACATGTCCCACCTGTGGCCTCTATGACTCCTTTCATCTCCAGCTCATGCTGGAGGGCCACCTTTGACCCCAAATGGATCCCAAAACAACACTGGGTCATACGCTCGTCTGGAGGCGTTCAAATTCTTGGTTGTGGTTGAAATTGACATTTTCATCCATTGGGGCGCCCACCATGAGGTTGAACATGTGAACAGAGGCCTAACGTACACTTTTTATGAGCGTTTGTCACTCATGTGTCAGTTTATAAAGACTTCTTTATGTCTCCGATCAAGTCTGAAAACGCCGTGTGATGTTTGCGAGCTATCTCAGGAATGCCACCCTGAGCGGCAGAGGTTAATCTGCAGTTCACTCCGAGTTTATAAAATGCAACATCTTCCGAAGGTGGGGTGTGACGCAGGACAAAAAATGGCAGCAAACGAAAGGTTCTAAACCGTGCCCTGGCTATCAAATCTTTGCAAAAGAAACTCAAACTGAGCCATCCTCCATGTTTGTCTCCGCAGGGGGACAATTCCAACGAGCCGTGTGACGGTTTGGACTGCAGCAGAGGATGCAGGTGCAACCCGGAGAAGGGAGCAAGGGTGAGTCTGCCGCATGGCATTGTTTGATTTGGACTTTTTAGGAGTCACTTGCCGCATCGCTTTTATCAACTCAGAGCGCTGTCATGATTTTTTTTTTTCCTCAGCTCTTTGCCCTTTTTTTGCCATCCGCATCCAACATCACTTACTATCCGACACTGAAAAGCTAGACTTGCTCCTTACTCTACGTCGCTTTTGTTAAATAACATAGAGACGCCCATTCACTGGAGGTTAAACGATATGGCTCCTGTTGCTAACTTCCCTTTAACTGTGATTGTGAGGCAGCAAAAAGGTTCTTAGTTTGCACTTGGCGGCATGGTGTGCTGCGGGAAAAGTTTAAGCCGTGGAACGGACATATTTCATACCATTTGAATTTATCGGGATGATTTTTTTAAATCCATTTTTAAATTCCTTTTTTAGCACCTTACGTCGCTCAAAGCGTATCTCAGGTGATGAGCACTGCTTTACACTAACAACATGGCCGCGAACACAAGCAAAGTCAATTTGTTGCCAAAAAAAAAAAAAAAAGTCGGAAATTGGATTTTTGTGACAAAACAGCTGACATTTTTTGTTTGCTTTAAGGCCATATTGCGCAGCCCCGTTCAAAAGCGGCTTGCTTCAGAGTTGAAAAGTTTTGTTTTTACATGGTAAACGGGGAAAGGTGGTGGCATTAGCTCTGAATCCATCGCTGATGCCGGGGAAAGGGAGGGTCCGTTCCCCCAGGTGATGTCCAAACACACTCGCGAGACACAATCCAGATGTGCTCTTGGTTTTTCATTATTAACAGCCGAGGGGCTTTGCGATCTGAAGAGGGTCTTTAGATCTTTGTTGACAGTATCTGTGCCATGTTGGATTCATTTGATCTGAAAACATCCTCTCCCACCGGGTGAACGGCAAAGGCCCTGAAGGTCATCGCGAAGCGGTAGAACGTGCGTGAGCAAAATAACTTGCGGCAGTTTATAACGACTCACTCTTTGCGTTTATTGACACAAGGAGATTGTAGCATAAAAGGACAATCACGGATGATGGGTGGGAGGGGTCAGAGAGAAGCAAGAGTGCCGTCCCTTTCAAAATAAGGGCATAGTGATAAGATGGTGTAGTGGTACACTCGCCTGACTTGTGTGCGGGCAGGTGGGATCGGTTCCCACGCTGACGTTGTGTTAGGTGGGTGCGAATGGTTGTGCATCTCTGTATGTGCCCTGCAACTGACTGGCGACCAGTTCAGGGTGTCGTCCGCCAGAAGTCACCTGGGATAGGTTCCAGGACCACCCCGCGACCGTGTTCAGGATAAGCGGTGTTGAAAATGGATGGATGACACGGCGATAGTGGATCTGCTTCTCACTGGGATCGAGCGATAAGAAATGAGCAATGAGCAATCTCTCGCGATAAATCAGCACCTCTTCATCCCACATTTATTCCCCTTTAACAGCTCTATAGAAGTTGTGAGCTCAATTTGACATTTTTGAGTGCAAAAGCCACCAAAAAAGGAGCAACGGCAAGGCTTGCCCTATTCATCGCATACACACAACGGCTCCGATTGCAGCCAGATAATGAAAGTTGGCAGCGGCACCAGACAAGCATGAATGACGACTTTGATCTACTTTTTTTTTTTTAATCTTTCAATATAACCACCCCATCTCTGAGTGCGTGTGTGTGTGTGTGTGTGTGTGTGTGAGCTCTATATGCACGCCGACTCCTGTGTTTATGTGTCGTGATGTACACACTGATGTACAGGGACAGTCTTATCAGCGGCAGTCTTTCATCCAAACATTTTTCCGGGCTTACAAGCATGCAGTTGGGCCCCTTTGTGGCATGTTTTCAGCCTTCTCCTTTTGAGGTGATGGGATTTTTTTTTTTTTATCTCACTGCAAGGCTTCATCTAAACACACTCGAGCATATGAAAACGGAGGAAACGATGGCAGACACACACATGCACAAACAAACACACACACACACACACACACACACACACACACACACGCACGTTGGGATTGTTGGCAGTACAAAGACTTGGTGAGGTCACAAGGTCAGGCGCAAAGACACCGGTTGACATGTGTGTGAGTGTGAGCGAGTCTGTTTGATCATAAATCTTATTAAAAATGCTAAGAAAGTGTGTGTGTGTATGTGTGAGTGTATGACAGTTGGTGAAAATTCATTACATTGTGAGTGTGTGCCTGTAAGACTGAGAGAAAGCAAAATCAAGTAAGCGCGAGTGTGTGTGAGAGAGAGTGTATGGATGTGCTTCTGAAAGAGAGAGCAAGAGAGTGAGAGATTGTGAGAGAGTGGGTGAGATAAACTGTGTGTGCCAGAGAGACAGAGCGGAGTGTGTGACATTGAGAATTTATGTTTGTGAGAGAGTGTGTGAGAGATATTGTGTGTGCCAAGAGAGAGAGCGTAGTGTGTGAGAGTGAGAATTTATGTTTGTGAGAGAGCGTGTGAGAGATATTGTGTGTGCCAGGGAGAGAGGGAGCGTGTGAGAGCAAGCGTACCGGTAATCTTGTTAGGAGGATGCTAGTGAAGTAAGTTAACCACACACACACACACACACACAGAAAAGGAACCAAGCAGCGAACTCCAATGAGTGTCTCTCCCTTCAAATGTACTCTACTGTCATCGTGTGGCCTCCTGTGGAATTGCAGCCTATTTTGACATGACATGTCACGCATCTTCTCCCACTGGCGTTGCATTGAGAAACGTAGCAATGAATGAGCAGAGTTGAACAAGGGCCGAGCGTCGCCTCACTCGAACTAAAAGGCGCATACAGAACTCCCGTCTGTCTCTTTTCAAAACACACGAAGACACAAATGTTCACACACGTGCAGAAATGCGCAACACTGGTTAGTAGTCGCGATTTTCCAGATTCTTGATTATAATGACGATGGTGCGGTTATTTATGATGCATTGGGAGACCCGGTACTCCACAAAAGCCAAGCGTGGTCGTTAAAGCTGTAGGCGCCTCACCCTTTAAACTGGGGGGGCACATATTTGTGGCTGTGCAATTACATTGTTGCGCGCGTCTGTGTGTGGTATGTCATCATTGGTGTGTGCACCTGGGAAATGTCTGATCGTTTGATGTTTGTTAAAATTATTGTCTAAGATTATCCTGTGGTCTGATCAGGGCCAACAATCGTAAATATTAAACGTCTTCAATATTTAACCAAAAATATTTACGTGGAGGCGGCCCGGTGGTCCAGTGGTTAGCACGTCGACTTCACAGTGCAGAGGTGCCGGGTTCGAATCCACAAACACAAATTGTGATGTGAAACCAACTGCAGCTAATCAAATGCGACCTAACATGGCAAAAAATAAGAGTAAATAAATAAATAAATAACTTTTGACAAAAAAATTCAAAAAAACATGACATTCATATTGTGTATTTGAAACAACCACTTTTGCTTCGGAACGCCTCCTTAGCTTTTTGCTAACCAGCAAGCCAAAGTTGAGATGCGAACAGTTAGCATCGCTCAAGAGTGGCTGTTTTACATAGAGGTGTAGCAACACATGTAGACCGACAACACATTTTTTTTTTTTATCATCTACGTAAAATTAGCTATATTCCAGCAAAACCTATGGTCGTAGAAGAACTGCCATTATTCATTTGTGACTGCATGACTGTATTACACTGCCTCCTGGTGGCCAAGGTGGACACACCATTATCAGTAAATAAACCACATGGGGCTTCATGAGAAAATTCAGTGCTTTCAGTCATCTCAGTTCTATTCAGCCAAGATGGCCATCAAAGGAGGCCTAAACACCTGTTATCAACGTTATTTTTGAAAGCTAACTGGCCTTTTAATGAGCCCTGCGTGCCAATGACATGAACTGTTTGGTCCTCAAAGGTTGCTGTCACCTTGGTCTGGTTTTAAGGCGGACACATGGAGGAGGATGACGGGGGCAACCTTGTCTTTAGCACAATTACACCTTTGACGGGCCCTCTGAAATATGGCGACCGTGCACAGAAGCGCGACGACTTCATGACATCATCACAGTGGGACAGCTGACCTCCGATGTGATTTTTATCGGCAGGGGACCCGGATGAAAAGAGAGAATAGGTTGTTACTTTAATGGAGGGTGGGAAGAGGACTGAAGAGTGATCCAAAGTCATGGCCACATTACTGGATACAGCTCATGAGAAACTGTTTGGCTTCAGCAGATGTTTACGGGATCATCAGGTTAGACATAGGGAATCATCTACTGTCATTTTTTTTTACTTTAGTAGTCTGATAATTATTTATTTATGACGAATTCTGAACCTAAAATGCACATTTCCAAGAATGTCCTTTTCTATGCCTTTCTGTGCCTCTTCCAGTCACTCTGTATCTGTAATTTATGATCTGCACTATCTGTGTAATCCATTTAAGGCTCAAGCTGCCACAGCGAGAATTTTGCTCTGAGCCCGCATCACCGTAGTCCGCCACAACCCATTCATTTGCCAGTTCTCCCCCAGCAGAATCACCACCACCACCAAATTCTGCTCCCATCACCATCCTACAGTGAGCATGCAGTGTGACAGTTAAATCTTCGCCCCGCCACCAGAACAATACGACTGGTTAAACCCCCCGACGGCCTGAGGGTGGACATCCAGGACAACACGCACACTTTCACACACACACACTCGGCCGCTGCGAACCTGTCTGCCCAAGCGCTCTCCCGCTCCAGGAAGTGAGGCAGGACCTCGATGGGAGCGCTAAGTCCAGAGAGCTTAGCCGCCCCCAATAGCACCCATTGTGCCCTTTGTGCTGGAAGGGATTTGGGCCTACAAACTGACCACTCTGCTGGAAGATGATGAGGGTGGAAGGTCCGCTGAGGGCTGACCGGAACGTTGACTCTCTGGCACGAAAACACAGACTGCTTCCAACCCCCCCGGTTCATCTGCAGCTAAAGGTGTTAGCACTTAAAGTTGGTTTCTCCCAACCATTATTGGGCCAAGATTTGTATTTTACATTCGAAAAATCTCACAGCACACCACCGAATGGAAATGTCACAATCATGGTTAAGTTTTTGTGGGCTCACTGTATCGCAAGTTTTTGGATGCACGATAGTATTTTGCCGTGATCATCTTTTCACATGGACTCGTTTTACTGCAGACTGCGGAGCAATACGCAAGGGCTAGGAGAGCAGGCTGACTTGAGCTGACAGCTAACTTGACTGTAAAAAAACTCAACTTAAATGATTTGGCCCAAAACAGTCATTTAAGTTGGAAAAACATTAAAATACAGATGACAAACATTTATGTCAACTATGTTTACTTCACGCAACAAATCAAGCAAGTTGTTTTTGCAGGATAACCATCCTGTAAATGTAAAATATTATCGAAGTTTGTTGACTAGAAATTTTGAGTTCACCCAACATTTTTTGTAGTGTACACTCTCATTTTCTGGCTCCCACATCACTCAGTTGTTCCAACCGAAATGACTGTTTTAGATTTGGCATGACTTGATATTGGCTAAGCAGAAAGCACCGCCAAGGAAACAAAAGAGTGAACCCTCACCCGGAAGGCCTGGCGTGAGAGAAAGTGGGACCGCTGGCATATTTTCCTCCGTGTGAAACCAGGTGTGGACATAAGATGGAATCCAGACGGCGCTGACAGGCTGACTTTACCTCGCGCAAACCCTCTCATCACGTCAACATGGCTGCCCCGAGGCCTGCAGCACGCCCAATGCGTTCGTCAACTCATTATTAGTTCTCACAACACGACTTTTGGCTCAAAGGTTGCATATTGCGTTCACCTGAGAGCCAATACAAACAGTGTGTAGGACGGATGTCAATACTAATTGTACATGTGTAATTGTACTTCTGTATTCAGTATATCGAGGCCTCAGGTTAATTTTTCAGCTCCTGAAATCAAAACCTCTGACATCTTACACGCCCCTCACCCTGTCCTTCCTCCCTCTGTCTCCCGTGCTTCCTCTCACCTGCTTAAATGGGAGCTAATGGCTTCAGATGTCAATCACCTCAATCTGTGCTGTTGCGCGCACACACACACACACACACACACACACACACACACACACACACACACACACACACACACACACACGTCTGTGTATTTTCGCGCATGCGTGTTTCCCAGAGTTGGGCTTTCTCTTCTCTGCTCACGACTGCAGCTTCACCATCAACATTGTGACGTTCATGTCACTTTACTGCCGCTGTGTGGTGTATATGTGGAAGTGCAGCTTGGAAAACAATTCTTGAGACTTTCTACCTTTCATTTCTTGTCATTATTTGTGTTCTTTTATCTCATTAAATAATGGACATATTGTGAATAAATGTCACAGATGAGCCGGAGACTTCTTTTTTTTTCTCCCCGCCTCATTTACGAATGACATGGTGGACATTTTAGAACAACGCTGGACTCGTGACTTTGTCGTCTTTCTTCTCAGGGTCGTCCGGGGCCTCTTGGTGAGGTTGGTCAGAGTGGGCCAGAGGGGCCCCGCGGCAGCCTGGGACCTACGGGGCCCAAAGGAGAGAAGGGCCATATTGGCTTGAAAGGACCATCCGGCCCGAAAGGAGACAAAGTGGGTGTTATAGACTGGACCATGTTTGCCATTTTGTTTACCTCATATAGGCAAAATTCTTCAAAATAAATGATAGCAACGGTGACTGTAAACAAGCAATTTTGTCCATTGATTTGATTTGATTGATTCAACAGGGCCCAATGGGAGTGCCGGGATTTCAAGGAAATGATGGCGTACCTGTAAGTAAACACAGTACAAGAATAACAAAAGTACAAGAGCAATTGAAATAACTATTAGTAGGGATGGACGAGTAACGACGCTAGGTATCAGTATCTGATTGGTATCGGGCTTTATTCAAGGTATCGAGCACTCATAAAGGATGTCGATACCAGCCGCCAATACAAAGAAACATAAGTCTTAGTTCACAATTGTCGCTTGAAGCGTTCATTGAAATGGAATGTATCATCAGTACCAGTGGTATCCGTACGCTATGTCAGTGACGACTCTCATTCTGATATCAGTCTGTAAAACATGGTCTCAAACATCACTTACTATGACTACTTTATAAAATGTCCAAAATAGAGTATGAATAAAATGTCAAGCTGAAACTTAAATGGAATCGATGAACCTGAAATGAAGTGACAAAAATGGGCTTTAAAAAAAAAAGTGAACTATATATTTTTCTCTCCTGGTGGACATAGGGCCACACTGGTCAGCAGGGTAGCCGAGGACCACCAGGACTGGACGGCTGTAACGGGACCAGAGGGGAGCCCGGATATCCTGGTTACGGCACCGGTGGACCCGGGCAACCTGGTTTCGCAGTAAAGACAGATCTGCTTGTTTTGCACCTTACTCTTTTTGTCAGCCTGGATAAAAGGTTGGTGCTCAGCAACGATGTTGTCGTGTGCTCCCCCAGGGACCAATCGGGCCAAAGGGTCAGAAAGGAGAACCTCGATATGTCAGTGACGGCGGCATCACTGTGAGTTCTCACTGACAGTTTATTGATGTTGTGTCAACACCTAACACAGTAGGTCTTGTCTTTATCAATATATTTTTTCTTAATATTAAATAGATTTAATACTCATCTAAAAACGACCAGTGTCGTTTTGTTTTTGTTTGTTTGTTTGTTTGTTTTTTTGGGGGGCGGGGTTGTTTTGTTTATAATAGACTTACGTGGAAATCAGTCGACATAGTCTGCAGTAATTACGTTTGGCCGCTAGATGACGCCAAAAGAGCTGATAGGTAATTTTGGAAGAACAATTCTCGTCATGGAAGCAGAAGTGGCCAGAGCAAAAGTACTGAAATTTATAAATGTAATCTGTCAAAGTACGGATTCAACGTCATTATTTAAAGAGAAATTTGAAATTAAAACAAATACTGTATGTCACTTTTCGTATTTTTTTTTTTTTTTGTAAAAAGTCGATATGAAGGAACATCATTCATTTATCTGATCTGTCACTGGCCACATATTCCACCTCGAATGACCAACAAGCAATGAATCGGAGCCAGAAGGCCTCACAGCATTGCCCTGAGCTGTTACCTTGTTAGCACAGAAAAGTACCTAATTCCTCATTACAATAACACAAACTGTTATCGATTTGAAATATCTCGATTTGATATTTGTTTTTCAGATTAGATAGGAGGATCATTTTTGACTGCAAAAGCTGGTGGTTTTTAGGCTACCACAAGACACAACGTAATCAATGACTTGTGCAGCCTTCTCAAACTTTCTCTGTGCGTGTGTTTCTTTTTAGAGTTTACCTGGCCTTCCAGGCGAAGACGGTCGACCTGTAAGATTTTGTACTGTTACTATTTCCTCAACATGTACCCCATTTCATGTCCCCATCTTCATCCTCAATGTGTGTGTCGCTGCAGGGCAGCAGAGGTCCCGATGGTCCAGTTGGGTTCACCGGTCCACCTGGGCCGGAGGGATATCCCGTACGTTCAAGAAAACACCACATAATATTGTCACCTGAAATGATTTGGCATGCTGACTGAGGTTGTGTTGTATGTCTGCAGGGCCCGCCCGGTCCTCCCGGCCCACCGGGGCCAATGGTAAGCGTACGAACAAACAAAAAGACTCTGGGACTTTGCCATTAAAGGACAGCTCCAAGTGCATCTTCATCTTATTTTCAGGGGAGTCGCAGTGATGGATATCAAGGCGAGAAAGGAGACAAGGTTTGTGTTGCTAATTTGAAAAGCTCTCCATCCATCTGGCTCTTGTGATCAGATAAAAATGTGTATATTTTGGCAACCAGGGTGACTTGGGGCTTCCGGGACCGAGTGGCACTCCAGGTGACGGGTCTCTAAGAAGCGAGCAAACCCTCACTATCTATAAAGGAGATAAGGTAACAAAGCAAAGGAATACGCTACGTCTTGAGTAGATTCCTGCATATTTGCGGTTTGACATTTGAAAATTGACCAATTGATATCCCATCTGTTATTCACTCACTCCTCTGCCTTTTCTCTGTGATGTGCGCACACTCAAAGCCGACAATGAGGCACTCTACAGCAATCACAAGTAGACTTTGAGGGGAAAATACATGTTCAGAGTGTACAGTTTAACAAACTGCGTCCCATGGACTAAAACATTTTATTGTTCTTGCTCCACATCTGAATATTACTTGCTATGATTTCTTGTGATGAATAAGAATTAGAAAAAAAAATCCAAACTTATCCCCTCGTACTGTACACGTGTTGATTTTAAAAAATCTGAAAAATATTCACATTTAATAGACATTTATCAGTACCTCAAGGTTGTTAGAAAAAAGGCATACTTACATTTCAACATGATATTTAAAGTCTAATGTTACAAATTTCTGCATGTAAAATTTATGCAACATAAGTTGTCTGGCATTGTTTCAGACATTTCATTTCCTGTTTCCGATGTGGTTGCAGCAGTGCAGCTAATTAAGTACTTAGTTGACTTCGAACTCTTAGTTACTTGCCTCATTGACGTTCTTCTCGGCACTGTTTTCGTGACAAAAAGTAAATACGTGTTCTGTACTCGTCTCCTGCAATTAGTCCATATCGTCGTGCGTCACTTAGCCACATTAGCCCACTAGCATTAGCCACAAACTGTTTGCGGTAATTAACGAGCACAAACGAGCATGTTGTTGGCTAATTGCCGATTGTAGAGTCACCTCATGTTGTAACAATTATTCCACCTTGCAAAGTTACTGCGGCAAGATGCGGAATTTATGTCAAAATATATGTGAGCTTTTCGTAATGTCACCAAGTGTAAGTATTTTTATATCCACTAGGTGGTGTCATTACATTGTCTTTTCTGAAGATCCGACAATTCAGTGAATGCCATTATTTTCGGGCAGAAACAAATCTCTGAAATAACTTTACAGGGTTTTAATGTGACTTCAGCGCAAATCAAAATTGTTTTGGGTTGCTTGTTCTTGTCTCTCTGCCTGAAAGGGTGAACCTGGACGAAAGGGGATCCGTGGATTCCCTGGGAACCAAGGCGCTCCTGTAAGTGCGCTTCCTTCAAGAGTGTCTGTACAAGTTCGGGTTTGTTCATGTTTGCTATTTTTCTTCAACTTCAGAGTCCTTTTGGTTTCCGCGGTGAATTTGGGGAGAAAGGAATACCCGGATACCCGGGGGCGAGAGTAAGAGCATCATATCTTGAAATGAAATACAGGAATGAATTCAATCTACATTTGGGATTGAGAATAGTGTGCATTTTCTGTGTTGTTTCCTGTGTTGTGTTCAGGGTCCTCCGGGTTTTAACGGACCTCCTGGCCTACCAGGACAACAGGTAGACTTTAAAACACACCCACAGACACAATTCTGTGAGTAGTTGACGTCTTTGGCAGAGCCATGTCTGACATCTGTTATGTCACAGGGATACAGAGGGACTCCAGGATTCCCCGGGCAACCGGGATACAGCGGACCCAAGGTAGGAGCAGTCCCACGTGCTTTCCATTTTCATTTCATGCATCTTTCTAAATCATTCTGGTCTTCGATGCTCAAGCTTGAGTTGTGATACAAGGAATGTCTGTGCCAAGTCAACAAACGTTCAAAATGCTGTCACTGGTGACTGTCTATTAGGGAGACCAGGGAGAACCCGGACTCCCGGGACCTCCTGCTTATGTCAGCGGTCCAAGCACTTCTGTTCAAGGTAAAGTCTGACACTTACAATCAGAAGTGAAGCAATCCAGTGATGTCATTGGGAGCAAAAGACTGGTAAAAATACAAGTACTGTACTCTTGTCATCGGTGTTAGTAATCTCTGGCTCACACTCCTGAGGTCGTCACAAAAAAAGAAATACCCAAGTACACCTGAAAGATTTACTTAAGTACAATATTGTTTGGACTTGTACCATTGAGGTTTTTGCTCCAAGTGTTTTTTGGCTTTTTTTTTTTTTTTTTGGCTCCCAGGACCCCCAGGTGACCCAGGCTTTAACGGGCTGCCAGGTGCACCCGGTGATCAAGGACCTCCCGGGTTTCCAGGCCCGCCGGGCCCACCAGGACTTGGTTTTGGTTCAGGTAACATGCTCGGACAACTCATAATGAATATGTATGGCGCCGCTCTGATAAAACGGGCTCGTCTTTGCTGAATTATTATCAGGAGGACAGCCCCCCACTGTAGGTTTCCCAGGGATCCCGGGCCCAAAGGGAGAGAAAGGCAGCCCCGGCATACCCGGCTATGGCACTGAAGGAGTCCCAGGCTCCCCAGGACTTCCAGGGATCCCAGGGATCCCAGGGCCTCCTGGACCTCAGGGCCCCTCAGGTATGCTGACACAGAACCAGTTAACAAAAATTCCTTTCTCACATAGGTGATGATGATCACTTTAGGCATGTTTTTTTTCGTGTTTTATCTTGATGATTGCATTAACCTCATGTTAGGGATCATCATCGGGCAGGCCTTATGTATAAAAGTATTGATTTCAAGCCATGAAAGCGGGTTGTAAGTGCAGCGGCAAGACAGAAATCCTGGCTGACTGACTTTACTGTCCTCCAAGGCCGACCTGTTGAGCCCTGCGTCATCTATCCCGAGGTGGACAGGCCCACTGGTCAGTCAAATTCAGGTATCCCCCAGGCGGCAGCTATATTGCGATGGTCACCATGGCAATATTTTTGCTGACCTGGGTGAAAAAAATAAATACGAAGCAGCCCAGCAAACTCAACTTTCAGCAGGCGGTAGCTTACCTCTTTTGATTCTGTGCAAGGTGTAGTGGTCATTTTGGCTTACTGGTCTCTCGATTGCAAGCTGCTTTTCTCATCTTTGGCCACAGGGTGTCGCCAGTGAACATAATTCACTGATTTTACTTGCAGTAGGAGGGTCACATGCAGGAACAATTTGTGTTTGCATCCATGATATCCATGCAAATTATGTAGTCATTGCACATGACATCACTAGTCTTTATTTTGTCAGTGCACCAAATGTGCACGTTATATACCCATAGGCACATCAGGTTAGAATTGTCAGCATAGCAATGTAAAATCAGTGAATTTAGTTCATGCTTAATGAAAAGCTGTGTTATATTGAATTTAAGAAAGCAACCAATTGCTTAAAATAACCCGCAGTTCAAGCCTGTCAAAGCCATCATGGCCAATGACGGCAAACTAACCCTGATTTCACGCTGTGCACTGCACTGTGCTGCTTAGTCATCATTGGAGAATTGCTGATTTAAAGATCTACTGTAAGAATGAACTTTGCTAATTTCCATTTTGTGTTTCTCGAGCCAGTGCAGGTGATTCTATCAGCAAACAGTGTGAAATGTGAAAGCCACACCGTTTCTAGACTTGTGATTGCTTTTCGAGCCGCTATCGTCCACTCTCAGTCAACGCGCCCGTGTCATTGCAGTTTCGCCAAGTGTCGGCGTTCCGGGGGTCCCGGGGCTGCCTGGTTCCCAAGGACCGCCGGGAAACCAAGGATATAAGGGATTCCGAGGTACAAACCGTCGATGAAGCGCAGTTGAACACGAAATGATACTTTTGCACGTCTTACCCATCCGGTCTCCTCCTCGTCCTCCACCCCACAAGGGGATCCCGGTGACTGCAACTGTATCGGAGGCGGCTCCTCGGGGCTGCCTGGTCCTCCAGGATCTCCGGGCGTCAACGGCAGTCCCGGCTTCCCTGGACCAAAGGGCGAGTCTGGCGACCCGGGCTCACCCGGCTTTGGTAGCCTTCAGGGGCCTCCTGTGAGTAAAATTTGAACCCTTCAACATGTGGTTGTTCTACGAATGTTTCTTCTCTCCCACCGCCTTGTTTGTGGTCATGTCCAATCCGGACCTAATTGTGGTCCTCCATCAGGGTCGTGCTGGTGAACGTGGGTTTTTTGGCCGTAAAGGAGAAAAGGGGGCATCGTACTACACCAACTTTGGTTTTGGAGGAAAGGGAGAGCTCGGCGCCACCGGGCCCAGAGGACCCACTGGAGAAACAGGAACACCAGGAAGGGACGGCTCGCCAGGCTTCCCTGGACCCCCCGGACCTCCTGTGAGTGGCTCAAGACCAAAAAAAATAAAATAAAACACATCAGATGAGGTTGCTTGATAAAAATCATGAAACGTGAACGTCCTGTTCAGGGCGACGCTGGCTTCGGCACACGCGGAGAGAAAGGTTTCCCCGGCTTCCCGGGGTCCAAGGGTCGGCCCGGAGGGCCTGGCGAGCCCGGCGGCGGCTTTACGGGTACGCCCGGTTTCCGTGGGGAGCCGGGAGAACCCGGTTTATCGGGACTGCCGGGGCCGCCAGGTTTGCCTGGACCAAGAGGTAAGTGGTCGTGGATGCTATCTGTGCGCGTGAGTGTCTGCGTGTGTCGTGTTGTCCCTGCAGGCTGAAACGTGTATCACACATCCGTCGTGAGCGTTGTCCACCTCCTCCTTCAGCAGTTACCATAGCAACCATGCCCAAACACTTTAGGAGGGTTACACAACTACCTCGTGGATTCACCCGAAAACTTTGGAAGGATTTTTCTCTCCCAAAAGCAGCTTCCTGCCCTTCCCGCCTCGGCTGCTGCTGCATACTGTTCACGTCACGATTAATGGTCTCCATTAATGAGCTTCTACACTTGCTCTATAATCTCTCTCGTTGATAAAGCGCTTCATTAGTGCACTGATTGTTGCATCATGATGAACGTGGAAACCTGAACTGCCACTGTGATTCTTTAGTCTCAGAGGATGACGATGATTTCGTTTTGAGTCTGTATCATGAATATGATGATGAGATTAAAAACAGAGGTGTCAAGCTCATTTGTGGGCCCCCGTTAAAAACCGTCTAGATGCCCAATTAACTCATTATTTTATTCCAGCTGCGATTCACCTTTTGTGGTCTCATTGTATCACAGATTTTTAAATTGTACAGATCAAATTTTATTTTTTGCTCTATCGCAGGACATGTACATTACACTCTGGTTCGCTGACTCCCACGTCACTCACCGGGACAGGTCCCACCTTTTAAAAGCCACACACATTCAAAGTTACAGATATTGCAGTGTAAAACTTGAGAGGTGGGGGACACACAGAACATGAGCCCACCAGGTCACCAGCCATTTAGCAACAAACAAGATGCGCTTTGTTTGCTTTGGTGCACCACAAAAATACGACGTGGCGGGCCGGATGAGTTTGACACCTGTGCTTTTAAAGAATCCCATAATGGATCAAAAGGCTCGCCTCCTCTGCGGCCAAACGACACAAAGTTTGCTTACCTGCAGAAATGACTGTGCGCTCTCATAGGCCAATGCTAATGCTAAACAACTCGTTTATGCGCTCTTTAATATCAAAGGTTATTGTCACGGGCGGGGAGCAAAGAGACAAGTGTCAAACTGCTCCCGCAGCAAGTGCAATAACCTGTTTGGAAGCATTTGGACAAGCGTTTTAACGTGCTTTTGCCTTAACCAAATGAGCCTGAAGTCATCCAATGGAACTGATTGCTGATTTTGCTGATGTTTTGTTTGATGAACGAGATTTGGCGCATGCAAATGACCCTGACTGGCTTTGTCTGCTGCAATTTTCAACCTCCCCCCTTTCTCTCATCCTCTCCATTTCCACCCATCCATCCATCGCTCTGTCCCGCTGATGTCTTTGTGCACGTGCATCTGTCCAGGTGAAAACAGCTGCGAAGAGGTTATTGACAGCGAAGAGGGAACGGGTGGGTAATGAACTTTTATTTAATCAGCCAGCCACAGCGTAACGGGCCGGGCTCCAAATCTCAGGAGCTTTATACGCGGCTACTCATGGATTCCCAAAGACCGAGGAAAGTGCTACGCAAAGAGACTTGCAGGGAGTGGAAGGTTTTGTTTTGAAAGTAGTGATGGCGTGAATGGAGGCGACGGGCGGTCGACAGGAATTCAGAAATTGTTGTTTGTTTGTTTTTTCTGTAATTTTGTTGGTGGGTCTGCATGGACAGTTGGTCCACCGGCTAATTGTGTATGACTGATCCCAGGCCAAGTGCTTCCCTGCACCATACCCGGTGAGATCGGACTGCCCGGTTTTCCTGGTGTCCCCGGACGACCAGGTAAAAGAAAAAAGAAAAAGTATACATATATTTGTTGAGGTTTTAAAATGTTTACCTTTTCATTTTTTTCTAAAGTTGGAAATCGGCAGCTTTCTTTAGCAACATTCTCAGGTTGTTCCTCATTTCTCCAAACAATCCATTGATTAGTAATATAAGGAGCCGTGTTACTGCAATTACCTTGAAAAAGTAACGCAGTTACTTTACTGGTGACTTTTTTCAAAAGTAAGTTGTTACCTTTTGGGTTACTTGATTTAGAAAGTAACTACTTTAGATTACAAGTGACTTTAATCGTTATATTCAGCAGATCCCGACAACCCTGCTTAACATAAAAATGACACCCAGTTTTGCCAATTTGACATTTAAGAAGAAAGTTTGTTTTTATTAAAAATCAAACAAAGACCAACTTTTTGACTGACTATTATTACATTTATTTTAAAAAATATATATATTATTATGACTCTTTTCTGGGTTTCATTGAACATAAATGTGGGCCTCTTGTTTGACTAGAAGACTGCCCGGTTTTCCTGGTGTCCCCGGACGACCAGGTAAAAGAAAAAAGAAAAAGTATACATATATTTGTTGAGGTTTTAAAATGTTTACCTTTTCATTTTTTTCTAAAGTTGGAAATCGGCAGCTTTCTTTAGCAACATTCTCAGGTTGTTCCTCATTTCTCCAAACAATCCATTGATTAGTAATATAAGGAGCCGTGTTACTGCAATTATGTATATTTGTTAAGGTTTTAAAATGTTTACCTTTTCTTTTTTTCTAAAGTTGGATATCGGCAGCTTTCTTGAGCAACATTCTCGGGTTATTCCTCATTTCTCCAAACAATCCACTGATTAGTAATATAAGGAGCCGTGTTACTGCAATTACCTTGAAAAAGTAACGCAGTTACTGGTGACTTTTTTCAAAAGTAAGTTGTTACCTTTTGGGTTACTTGATTTAGAAAGTAACTACTTTAGATTACAAGTGACTTTAATCGTTATATTCAGCAGATCCCGACAACCCTGCTTAACATAAAAATGACACCCAGTTTTGCCAATTTGACATTTAAGAAGAAAGTTTGTTTTTATTAAAAATCAAACAAAGACCAACTTTTTGACTGACTATTATTACATTTATTTTAAAAAATATATATATTATTATGACTCTTTTCTGGGTTTCATTGAACATAAATGTGGGCCTCTTGTTTGACTAGAAAAAGTAACGCAGTAGATAAGTCGTTACAGGAAAACAAATTTTAGGGTAACATGTTACTGGTAAAGACACATTCAACCAATCAACAAAATATCATGTGAGCTGTTTGTATCTGTCAGGTCCAAAAGGTCAGCCCGGCTCGCCAGGAGGCCCTGGACGTCCAGGATTTGATGGTGGCAAAGGAGAGAGAGGAGACGGCGGCTTTGGAGGACAGCCTGGCCCACAAGGTAGCCACTGAGTGATCTGAAAGTCATTCAGAGATTTGGGGTAAAATTTCCGTATGAACCTCAAATGCACGGTGACCTTTACAGATGAACTGAATTCGACCTTTCGTGATCCTTTGATTGCACAACAGTTTCTGGCGCTTCTTATATATATATATATATATATATTATTATGACTCTTTTCTGGGTTTCATTGAACATAAATGTGGGCCTCTTGTTTGACTAGAAAAAAGTGACGCAGTAGATAATTCGCTACAGGAAAACAAAATTTAGGGTAACATGTTACTGGTAAAGACACATTCAACCAATCAACAAAATATCATGTGAGCTGTTTGTATCTGTCAGGTCCAAAAGGTCAGCCCGGCTCACCAGGAGGCCCTGGACGTCCAGGATTTGATGGTGGCAAAGGAGAGAGAGGAGACGGCGGCTTTGGAGGACAGCCTGGACCACAAGGTAGCCACCGAGTGATCTGAAAGTCATTCAGAGATTTGGGGTAAAATTTCCGTATGAACCTCAAATGCACGGTGACCTTTACAGATGAACTGAATTCGACCTTTCGTGATCCTTTGATTGCACAACAGTTTCTGGCGCTTCTTGCGCAACTTGCTGTTCTCTTAAAACGACTGGCTCCACTGATTTTGCTTCCGCGCACAGGTTTTCCTGGACCCAGAGGGGACTCCGGAGTTCCCGGTGTCCCAGGACAGAGTTTCGATGGGGCCAGGGGGAAGGACGGTGTCCCAGGACGCCCTGGCGCCAAAGGCCAGCCTGGAGAAGTTCTGGGAGCCACAGGGGGGCCTCCAGGCCGGGATGGTTTTCCCGGCCCTCCTGGAGACAAGGGCCAGCCTGGGACACCAGGAGGGTCTGGATCACCTGGTGCGTCATGTCGACGGGCTTGCAGTCACACGATTACCGTGCTCACTAACTCGATGACCACTTTCGTTGCATCAGGTTTTGACGGTCGCACGGGTGTTCCCGGGCTCAAGGGGGAGCGTGGAGTCGACGGTTTTCCCGGGCTTCCTGGTCCTCCTGGACTACCGGGCGATCCAACCGTGGAAATCCCCGGTCCACCGGGAATCGATGGCAGCAAGGGCCTCAGCGGCTCACCAGGTGAGGGAGCAGCTTCATGTTATGAAATCCACCACCATCTTCGATTCCCGAGAAAGGAAGAGGAGCAAATGTGATTGTTTACTGTTGAATTGTCATCTTTCTTCATTCTCCCCATTTTTGAACCAGACGTCACGGCACACGTTTTGTTGTGTTTAAACTCACCCGAAAGATTCTCTCCCTCTCTTTTGCTTTTCTATTCCCACGTCTTTTGTCTTTCCTCCTCCTATCGTTCCCTCCTTCCCACATACCGCCATCATCACCTCCATCCATCCTTTCATCCCTCCACCTGTTTACTCTTGGTGTTGGCTCGTTCCATATAGGCTGTCAAGGTGAGATACTCCCCCTTTTCCGCATATTTATCCATCGATAGTCCCATCCGCTCCATTTTTTTTTTTTTTTTTACTGCTTCCATCAATGGCCTGCACGTCCATGCTCTGGCTGAAAATGTCCATGACTCTTGAGCGGCTACGACCAATTGAACATTTAATGACCGACATTTGTTTGGTGCTGACTTTGTGGACATTTTAGCTATGAGTCATTTGGAAGTGTTGTTCTTTCCAACTGCTCTTTTGCAACTAGCACTAACATTTGTAGTGCATTGACACGTCCAAGTGCCATCTGCCATTCTGCCATTTCTTTGCACTTAGGCTTGTGTGACCACAAACGCAACAAGGCTTCATTCTTAAAAAAAGGACTTGTCATTTTCATCACGTCCCATCACCCGGTGGACATCTTGAAAATTCTTTTTTTTTTTTAAGAATTGAATCGTAGAATGTAGTTACTCCTTGGTGGTTGGAATATGCTAATTTAGTCTGGAATTGCACTTTTTTTCTTTTCTTTTTTTGTACAGTACTTTTATCTAAAAATCATCAACTTTGTTCTTATTTCCAATCAATAACGGATGATATTAACTGTGCATTTTGCAATCAGAGTGCAATTGCAGCCATACTATGCAGTGTGCGTGCTTTTGGTGTGTATTGACGATCTTTTGTTCATGCAAGAATTAAAAAATGCTGTTGAAGGTGAGTTTATTTTCAGAGCCTGATGGAAAACTTAAAGCACATTTGCAGTCAATTAATAATTTTATATTAGCGCTTTTGGTTGCTTTTGTAAACAAGAATGTGTGTTTTTTTAAAGGGACAGCGTGTAAAAATGTGTTGTTTTTTCCACTGTTCATGGGCGCGCTTCCGCTACAAGAAGCTGCCATGTATCGCCGCCATCTTTCCGCTACGGAAAAAGCGGTGGTGACAAACTTAGCGAATGTAGTTCCTCAACATGATGACGACAGCATGTGTAACGAGTGCTTTGCACTTCCTCCGTCAGTTGAGGGAATACAAGAATGTCGCTTGGGAAGACATTTTGCTTGCACCTCTGCTGAAGAAAGTGGTGGTAGGCTTGCAAAGTGTGGTCTCTTTGAGGCACCATCGTCCGTCCGTGTGCGTGTCGTGCTTAAGTCGTTGCATTCTATTAATTCACCACAAGACGGCACTAAATTTTACACAGTGTGCGTGTCGTGCTAAGGTCGTTGCATTCTATTAGTTCACCACAAGATGGCACTAAATTTTACACACTGTACCTTTGCTGCTGCTTCATTTTCCCCCTTGGTGACAATCATTTAAGGCAATAACGTAGCGTCATCCATCCTCTGCCAGGATTTCCTGGTCAAAAGGGAGCGAGAGGAGACCCAGGTTTCCCAGGGCCTGCTGGTATGAAGGGGAGCCCAGGACTACCCGGTACCCCGGGCTCACCAGGGACAAGGGGACCCCCTGGGCCTCCAGGACCAGGAACAAGGGAGGGATTCCCAGGAATACCAGGAAGGAAGGGTATGTTGAAGCCAGCAGCTGATTGCATCACTCTTGGAAGATTACAGACAGCAGTATCTTTTTTTATTTTTTTATTTTTTAACACAGGCGAACCAGGCTTCCCAGGGGTGACAGGCTTCCCCGGATCGCCAGGTCGTCCTGGGAGTCCAGGATTTCCTGGGGGCAAAGGATTGCCTGGAGGGCCTGGAAGAGATGGACTTCCTGGAGGGCCCGGCTATAGTGGACAGAAAGGTAGTGTGTCCAGTGTCGGAATAATTACGACCACACCTGTAGTTTAACGTACCGGTATTCTGTTTTTGGTTCACAAACAGTCTTGGTTTTAGCAGCCCTCTTAGTTTTAGTGTTTTGGTCAACAATTTTGTCACATTTTAGTATGTGATACAGTAGTTTTAGTTAACAAAAAACTCAAAAAGGGTTTCGTCTGGTTTTGTAAAAACAACAAGACTGTTTTATTATATGATCAACACATTTGACAGAATATTACCAAGCTAAGAAAATAGAATGGCCTTAAATGTCAAAACAGGCAAAACAAAAATGTTTTGATTACCTTAATTATATTAGTCACATGATTGGCATCCGCCCTCTGCTTAAACTTTCTGGTCTTATTTTTTGAGCAAATGTCAAAACTATAATGTGTCTTTACTGTTGTCTTTGTTTGTTTTTTATTTTAGTCTAGTTTTAGTAACAACAAAAAGACTGTTTTATGATAGTCATACTCTTTTCACAAATGCATTTTTCTTCATCACATTTGACAGAATATTACCAAGTTAAGAAAATAGAACGGCCTTAAATGTCAAAACAGGCAAAACAAAAATGTTTTGATTACCTTAATTATATTAGTCACATGATTGGCATCCGCCCTCTGCATAAACTTTCTGGTCTTATTTTTTGAGCAAATGTCAAAACTATAATGTGTCTTTACTGTTGTCTTTGTTTGTTTTTTGTGTGCCCCCACCCCAAAAACAATTATTGTAAGCATGCTGCTAATATTACAGACACGAAATGTGCTGTTTTGTGAGACCAAATTGGGAACTGCAAAGGTCTGCCTAGCTAAAAATCCATGCATGTTCTCCTTAATACAATAACACACAGGTAAGCTAATGAATTGACATTAGCACAACAAAGCTAACTTCAGCCTGAAGCTAGCTAGCTAAAATCACATTTGCGCCATGAGTTATGGGGGAAACTTTATGCTTACTATGATTTTTATCACAAGCCAATTTTCTATTAAGATTTAATGTATAAGATATGGAAGTCGCTGATGGTGTAGTGGTACACTTGACTGACTTGTGTGCGGGCGGCGTGGGATCACTTCCTACTCGGTCCCAGCTTCAGACCAAAGCTGGGATAGGCTCCAGCAACTCCCCGCGACCCTGTACAGGATAAGCAGTGTTGAAAATGGATTGGTGGATGAAGTATAAGCTATGTTAAGAGGCGTTGTCTTCCAGTGAACACTGGTGTGGTGAGCATACATTTTGCGTGTCGGACAGATCACCCCTAACATATTCGTCTGCATCTCGTCATTAGCCTAAAGCTAGCTAGCTAAAATCACATTTGCGCCATGCATTATGGGGGAAACTTTATGATTTTTATCACAAGCCAATTTTCGATTAAGATTTTATGTATAAGATATAGAAGTCGCTGATGGTGTAGTGGTACACTCGACTGACTTGTGTGCGGGCGGCGTGGGATCAGTTCCTACTCGGTGACATTGTAAATGTGGGTGTGAATGGTTGTTTGTCTCTATATGTGCTCTGCGATGGACTGCCGACCAGTTCAGGGTGTAGTCAGCCTATCCGCCCGAAGCTGGGATAGGCTCCAGCAACTGCCCGCGACCCCGTACAGGATAAGCAGTGTTGAAAATGGATTGGTGGATGAGGTATAAGCTATGTTCAAAGGAGTTGTCTTCCAGTGAACACTGGTGTGGTGAGCATACATTTTGCGTGTCGGACAGATCACCCCTAACATATTCGTCTGCATCTCGTCATATATCAGTCATCAAAGTGCCATATTTAACAGTCACTGTCACGTCATGAAAAAGAAAAAGGGCTGTCATCACTGACAAAAACAACAGTGTTGACAAAACATATCCAAATCGTCCCAAAGTGATGTGAAGCTCGTAATGTAAGTCAAATAAATGTCTGTGGATTGTATTCTCCTATTTAGGAGAGCCAGGGTTACCCGGTCCCACAGGCCCACCTGGCCCTCCAGTTTCAGTGGAGTCGGCGGCCAGAGGAGACCCTGGAGTCCCTGGAGGCAGTGGCCTTCCCGGTTTCACCGGACCCAGAGGTATACATTGGGTTTATCCATCCACATGAGACAAGACAGGTACCAGGAGAAAAAAAAACTGTCTTTGTTTTCCACAAAGGTGACAAAGGTCTTCCAGGCCCGCCTGGTCGTCAGGGTCTGCCTGGACTTCCAGGTTTTGCTGAACAGAGCAAAGGGCTGCCGGGACAGCCTGGTTTCCCCGGGCAGCCGGGATTTCCGGGCGGCCCTGGCCCGAAAGGTGAAGGCGGAATCCTGGGATTCCCTGGCATGTCTGGACCAAGGGTAAGGAAAGACTCACAAATAAACATAGACATCTCACAAAAAGTTCGGGATATCGGACTTAAGGTTGGAATGTTGTGAGTTTTTTGTTCAACATGCTGTTTCATCCTGCCGAATATCTCAAACTTTTTATGAGTGGTAGGGATGGGCGAGTAGTGTTGGAGTTATTGGGCTATAGTCAAGTCCACTTTTATCAAGTCCAAGTCAAGTTTGAGTCTCAAAGGTCTGAGTCCAAGTCCAGTCTGAATCACAAAGGTCCGAGTCCACAAGCTTCAAGTCGTTTTTCTTGACAGGGAGATGACGGCTTCCCCGGGATCCCTGGCAATCCTGGACAGCCTGGTCGTCCTGGTACCAAGGGTGAGTTCAATTTCCTATCACGCACAAAAACTTTGGATACGTTCTTTTAAAATCGATTGATATGTCTTCCTCAGGTCAGCCTGGAGAGTCTTACGGCTATCCTGGCGGTCCTGGCTTTAAAGGCCAGCCTGGAGATTCAGGATTTCCAGGTAAAAATAGAGGGAAAGGTGCGGCCCACAACCCTTCAATCCCCTTGCCGTGATTGATCTAAAACTGCGCTCCTAAAGGTGGGCGTGGCAACAACGGCGCTCCTGGTGATGATGGCTTCCCAGGAAGTCCAGGATTCCCTGGTGTCAAGGGAGCGCCTGGCGAAGCTGGAGGGCCTGGACTAATGGGTGGGTGTGGCAACGGCTGCCATGTTTGAATTCTTCAATAGAGAGTTTGGCGTATATGTGTGCATTGACCAACATATTTATGCACTCGTGTTGGCAGGCTCACCTGGTTACCCAGGTCCAAAAGGTCTGTCTGGCTTCCCCGGAAGAAGGGGGTCAGATGGAATCCCTGGTTTGCCCGGAGGCCCTGGAGGTCCCGGATCGAAAGGTCAGAAAACAACTTTGTTTTGTTTTTTTCTGAGTGAGAAATGAAGGCTAGACAGACACAATCTTGGCATTTTACAGGTCTTGCCGGAGCTCCTGGTTTGGATGGACTTAATGGCCTCCGTGGGCCGAAAGGCCTTCCTGGGACACCTGGTAATTACATTTTTCAATGGCACGAGAAAGATCAATTCATCAATACGAAGCTAAAGGAGGGTTTTTTTCCTGTTTATTTGTACATTCTGATTTGATTGATTTGATTTGACTTTTTATTAGGTTATTCTGCAATTACTTATTTTTTTATAATTTTTTTTTTTGTTTGTTTTTTACAGGGGCGAGTGCCGGAACTCGACAGGGTGCCCCTGGTATTCCGGGATTGAAGGGCGAGAGAGGCCTCTCCTACGCAGGAGCACCAGGTTTCCCGGGGGCAAAGGGAGAGAGAGGAGCACCAGGTGAGGCAAGATCAACGAAAGACAGATAATGGGAAATATTTTAGGGACAGGCAGACAAACAGACAGACGGATTGCATAAAGATAGTCTTTAACATAGTGGGCTTGTGTGCGTGCATGGTCAGGTGGTCCTGGACTCCCAGGATTTCCAGGTCGACCCGGACTCCCCGGTGGTTCAATCGGCTCAGACATCCCTGGGCCAGTGGGAGATCCCGGCCTCCCTGGCCTGGATGGAGAGTTTGGTAGGTACAGACCTTTCCTTGCATGTCCGATCCTCTTGGCTTTTTCCTATTTCACCTTCATCTCGCCTCCTCTTCAGGTTTGACTGGTCCTCCGGGCCTTCCTGGGCCACCCGGTCCAGGCACGGACCAGGGAGAAAGAGGTGATCCTGGGCTTCCGGGTTTCCCTGGAAACCCTGGTCGAAAAGGAGAGCCAGGGATCCCTGGAAGCCCCGGACTCTCCAGCAGTCCTGGCTTCAAAGGTAGACCCCAGCATCTTTGAGATCTTCATCTGTTTCATTCCTATTTTTTGTTTGTTAGTTTGTTTGTTTCACTGAGAATACATTTAAACCATTAATTCTAATTTCTAGGACTACAAGGTGACTCTGGATTCAGTGGTGCTCCGGGCCTTAAAGGTTTTTCAGGAGACCCTGGCTATTACGGAGGCAAAGGAGCCAAGGGTTTCCGAGGTAGGGGAACTTGAAAATTGACAAATGTGGAGCTAGCAAGGATGCGACTTTAGCCATGAAAATCCCCCCCCCCTTAAAAATGGTTTCTTCTTGCTTGCCCACCTGCCCAGGCCCTGCAGGTCCTAAGGGTCGCCCCGGTATCACACTACCCGGCACAGTTCCACGCTTTGAGCGAACCTTTGGAGATGGCGGTCCTCCGGGTGACCCTGGACCCCGTGGTTTCCCTGGAACCCCCGGTCAGCCTGGAACGCCTGGACGCCCAGGTGAATATTTACAAAATGAGACGATGGTGTATTTGCCATATGCAGTGCTACCTTTACTTTAGAGTGCCCCAACGAACACCTTTTCTGAGCTTCCACTGTTTGCTTGGTCAATTATTTTGAAGTCAAGGCACGCCCATTTCCTTTTCACCTCAGGGGCAAAGGGACGTCCCGGTTCTGTCGGAAAACTGGGCCGCACGGGTTCTGTTGGTCAGCCTGGACCAATCGGTGACCCCGGTCCTCCCGGTTTCCCCGGAGCCACTGGAGAACAAGGTCTACCATTGTGATTTTCCTCCCTTTTGTGCAAGAGATACATGAAATAATCTCTTTGCGTGTCAATTCTCAGGCCTTCCCGGTGGCATTGGTCGGCCCGGTAATTCCGGCTCGGTGGGGCGCAGCATCAGTATCGGCTACACTTTGGTGAAGCACAGCCAGAGCGCGCAGGTTCCCATGTGTCCTCAGGGCATGGCCAAACTGTGGGATGGCTACAGTTTGCTTTACGTGGAAGGCCAAGAGAAGGCGCACAACCAGGACCTCGGTATGAAAACGCGCACGATGAGGTGAAGCTCGCTGGGAACGACGCGTCTCGTCATTGTTTCTCCAGGTCAGCCGGGGTCCTGCCTCCCCAGATTCAGCACCATCCCCTTCCTCTACTGTTCACCCAACGAAGTGTGCTACTACGCCAGCCGCAACGACAAATCTTACTGGCTCTCCACCACCGCGCCCATTCCCATGATGCCCGTGGCCCACAGTCAGATTCGGCCCTACATCAGCAGGTTTCGACTGCTTTTCCAGCTCTGCGTGTGTACAACTAGCCACTCCTTCTGCTTTACATTTGAAACTTATTTTTTGGGGGGGCTTCCAGGTGTTCAGTGTGCGAGGCGCCTTCTCAAGCTGTGGCGGTCCACAGTCAGGACTTGACCATCCCCAACTGCCCCCCGGGCTGGAGGAGTCTCTGGATAGGCTACTCCTTCCTCATGGTAAATTGTAGATTTTTTTTTTTTTGTCTGTTATCATCTTTCTCCATTATCCATAAAATTAAACAGCTCCCAAATTATTTCAGCAAAAATCAATATTTATGCAGTGATGACTCCCCCGGAACTTATGCTAACAACCCGGGCTAAATTTAGCTCCTCCCAGACATGCAAAGATCTTGAACATGTTCCTCCAACGACCAAGTTTCCCTTTCGGTGCCATCTTGTGTCATCTTAGATGAGTTTTTTCAGCGGCGCAAGAAAAAATGCAAATACGGTAAAGACTCTCCGGAGCTTCCGCTAACGACCCGAGCTAAATTTAGTTCCTCCCAGACACACAAAGATTTTACCAACGAACTTTTCTTTATTGAATTGATTGAATACAACTTTGTCATCTGCAAAGATTCGTAGGATACCAACAATTTTTTTTTTTTTTTTTCAGCACACAGCAGCCGGAGCCGAAGGCGGCGGCCAATCCCTGGTGTCCCCCGGCTCCTGCCTGGAGGATTTCCGTGCGACGCCGTTCATCGAGTGCAACGGCGCCAAGGGGTCGTGCCATTACTTCGCCAACAAGTACAGCTTCTGGCTGACCACGGTGGATCCCAACCGCGAGTTTGTCTACTCGCCAGAGCAGGAGACCTTGAAGGGAGGCCAAGAGCGCTCCAAAGTCAGCCGCTGCCAAGTGTGCAGCAAGGTCTTGTAGGCAACAAGGCAGGGGGGGTGGGGTAGCAAAGGAAGATCAATTGATGGATGGATGAGGTGATGGGAAAAGAAATCTATAAAAGCAAGAACAAGTGACTGAAAATGAGCCTCCTCTGCTTGCCAATAGTTTTTTCTTGTCATCCCCTTTCAGAATGATTGGCTGATCGCGGAACGAGGGTTGGGGGGGGGTGAGTGTGAGGGATGAAATGATGAGAGGCGGGCTCTGCTCTCCTCTGGATTATCACTGACAATGGTGCTATGTGTTTGGTGTTGTCTATGTCTTTGCTCCCGTGAGCATCGTTTTGAGGGCGGAAATCATTCTCGGCTACCTCAGAGCGTGCCGACCCTTACGCAAAGCTCGGCGCCGCGTGCGCTGCGCTGCCTCGGCATCACTTGTTGGATGCCGATTGCTTCCTAAAATATTAATTTGCGTCTGAGCTGATTTAACTGTAGCTCATGTGGAAAAAAAAACAACAACAAAAAAGATATTTGTGGTAATATAAACATCGGAAAAGTTCAACCGTTTCTAAAAGCTTTTCTTTTTTTCTTTTTTTTTACAACTGGCTAACATTCACGTGTACCATATGCATGCTTTCATCAGACGCGAAAACGATTAATCCTGAATTTTCACGCGAATGTGGTGACAGTATTATTTTGCAGAAGTGTGCCCCTAATTGTTTTCTGCCGGGCTGCCACCTGCAGTTTTTTAGACAACAAATGTCACGACACAGCTTCTTGTTACGTTTACAACACTTCGGTTTTAAATTTAGACCGTTTTTTTTCGTCGGCACGTCTGTTGTTTTTGTTCTTCACCCCGGTGCTACTCGGTGCTGCAGAAATCAAAGCGGTACTTTTCCACAAATTCTCTCGCACAGCTAACCACCACCACTTCTGGATGACTTGAATGAGGCCACGTTTCATATATTTTGCACTGACAATGTTTTGGAATAAATATGGCAGACCAAACCACTTCCCGACTTTAAAAAAACTCCTTTTGCTTTCACTTTCTCGTGCTTCCTGAGTAATCCAACACAACATACACGTGTCTGATAGAATGTTAATTATTGCTGTACATAGTTTTTACTGAATTCCCCTGCATTTCCCCCGCTCACAAATGCTTTTACAGTAGTGCTTTTTTTCTTTCTAGATATTTCAGCAAGTGTCTTTGGATGGGATAAGAGTTTGTGCTTTTGAACGTACATTCTTATGGATGGACTGCTGAATTCTCAAATCGACAAAATATAAGTCCGAATTTAAAAAAAAAAAAAGATCCCTCGATGGTGAAAACTTTGGGACTTGGCAACCACTATGACCCCATGTCTACGGCGCTGTCTTTTTGGAATCTAAAATGTAATGATGTCACCTGAATCATGATACTATCCCTTGTTTTTATTTACTGGAATAGGAGGGAAGGACAACGTGTACATGAAAATGCGAGGGAGGAAAAGTGTGCTATATGGAAAACAAACTGTGTATTCACTCTGATGATCGATTGAATATGTTATGCCACCGGTGTCAGCAGTGATGGGAAAATAAATGTGGTTTTCCTCAAAGAGGACCTGAACCAAAGAAAATCAAATGAGATGTGCTGTCTACTTTCCTCTGCTGACGTCACCACATTTTGTACGTTATCAATACACAGAACTATTCAGCGTTTGTTGTTCCAACACAACTTCGTCAGATACATCGATCGTAAATTGTCTTTTGTCTCTTAAGAGTTAGAAATATATTTTATTTACTATCTTTATTCCTCCATGTCAGCAAGGTACAGTAGGCGGATGCTGATATATTTTTGTGTTAGTGCAAACTGGACCCTTATCATCCGATCGGTCTCACTTTCACAAAAAGTATTTTTAAAAAATAAATAAATAAATAAAATAAGCAGCTCAACTTTAACCTACGATGGTGCGTGTCTACGTCACCGGAAGTTGTTTGCAGTCATCAGTCTGGAATTGCAGCTTGCGATCAGAGCTGTTGCGCTATATCTTTTATTATTATTATTTTCATTCGAAGTTTGTTTCATGTGCAATTCACCAAGGGCACGGGCAAAGAATGAGAATTTGGAGTGCCAAGAGGAGCATTTTAAAACGGTGTGCGTGAGCTACGACAGTGAACAGGCTGCAAAAGTGCGTCACATGTCTCCGCCTCTCTACTGAGGTAGGCGGTGATTTGGTTTTCACATACACACAAACTTTGGTGTCGATTTTTCCGTTTCGTTCATCTTAGGAAACCGTAATGGTTTTTGCTCATCAGGGCATGCGTGTGTAAGTGCGTGCGTATGCACGCGTGTGCGGTAAGGGGTCGATTGCGGGAGGTTGGTTGATCGAAAAGTCGATCTTTGGTCAAAAAAATTTGATCACTCCTGCTCGAAATCCTTTTTCCCCCGCAACAACAACAGCGCAAAAGCGCCACCACCTGTGGGTGGTGGCAAAAAAATTCCCGCTCAAGCCTAAACCCGCCCTTCAGTTTATGGTGGCGGCTGTCGCCACCTTGTGGCCAGAAATTGATTTGTCTAAGAAACGAAACAATCCTGACGATTCTAAATTTTTTTTTTCAAGCCTTATGTTTTTTTTTAAATAATGTTTAAATCTTCTTACTTTACCTGGTCTTTTTTAGTTAAGCCCTTCAAAACGACAAATTAGCCTTACGATCTCTCTTTGTTTTGTTTTAGTTCCATGTTCAAAAGAAACAGGACCCCCAAAGAAAAAGGATTGTGTTTCGTCATAAGATTCTCTGTACCCACTCGTTGTTCCTTTAGTCATCTACTTCTCTTTTACATTTTATGTTGTCTATTTTCAGGTGTGTGCTCCATAGTTAAAGTTTCATTTATTGATTGATTGACGTTTTTTTGGATGAATATTGTTTATTGTCAGTGCACCCTGATAGTGACACGTATACAATACAAAACGCATGCAGTGGGAGCGTATGACTCCTGATTAGGCAATTGAACAAATACTGTACACCCATGAGGAGCTGACAAGGTATTCATGTAAACATATTCACTCCTCATATTTATTAAAAAAAACAAAATAACTTTCATACCCAGACCTTTCCCTTCCCTCCGCCGGCCACCCCGTCCTGACCCCCGCAGCAACTCCCCAGCCCGCGGTGTTGAGTGGCCGGCAGGTTCTTGTACACAGCCCGGCTGTACGGGATGAAGCACAGGCCCAGCTGGAGATGTCTGGCCAGGCGGCAGTAGGCAGCCAACGCCAGCACCAGCAGAGGAGTCACCAGAAGGAAGCCCACCACCAGCAGAGCCACGCAGCCCCCGTCCGTCAGCAGGTCGGAGCAGTAGGGGTGAGTCCCGTTGGGGAGCACCTTACAGAGTGGAGACGGCATCCATGAGTCACAGCACTGACGAGTGGGACATGAGGCCGTGAACTATGAAAATAGAAACTGGAAGAAAACCGAAAGTTTTGCTCACTCAAGCCAAAGGTCAACGGCGGTGAGGGTAAACGAAAGGGGGAGTTGGAGAGGAGACGGCAGGACTGAGTCAACCTTATCTCCTTGTGACGTGACAGAGGAGGAGAATGCCGGGAGTCGAGGTGAGGCATCAATCAGCTCTGGGGCAGGGGGGCTGAATCGGTGATTACAACGCTTCTCACAGCGGGAGAGTCAAAACACGCGAGGCGGTCAGATGCGGGGGTTCTGAGGAATGTCCGGAGGTCATATCAAGAAACTTACATGTCAAGAAACGCTGCTTGAGTGTGCTATTGGTCTTGTTGGTGCTCAACCAACTGAGAAAAAAAAAAAGTATTTCAAGGGCGGAGAGGAACAAGGGGAACGTCACCACTAGGTACCCTGATGATAACCTCTACCCAAACTTTTTTTCTATCTTGCCAATCCGCCATTAATCCCCCACTAAGCTGCTGTCACATGAAGTCTCATTATGAGAGGATAGAGGAACGTAGAAGAAAAGTCCGCTCGTTAAAGGCCATTGTATTCGAAGTCACTGAACCGTGATCACTTGTTGGACCCGTCTTGACTAATGCTTACTGGCCTCTTGGTCTGTTCTTGAGAATCCTTTCGAGATTGTGTTATGCATGTGATGAGAAAATTCCACTCATCGTCAGCGACCGGGCACATCCTGTCTCTGAAAAATACTTCAAGACCCTGTGAATGAATTCAGATATGCGCTGAAAACATGCGAGAATTACACGCTAGTTGTGTAAGGTGACATTTTCAGTTTTCCAGATTTTTTTCTTTGGGGGGGGGGCAGGTTAATGCATGTCACGGAGGGAAGGCGAAGGAATGGGGTAAAACAAAAAAAGGGTAAAAGTCTGACATGACAGTCAACCTGTGGACAGGGGCTTCACGCTGGCATAGGCTCAGTAGAGTGCCTCGTTGTCGCGGCGCAGAAAATTCACGGCTCGAAACCAAAATTTTATACACTTTTTAAAGTCATTTAAATTTGACTTGGTTCTAAACAACACTTTTCTCTGCGGTGCATGTCAAATGTACATTTTTTTGGGGGGGGGAGTTGTTGTTTTACATGTACTTTAATCCATAGTCTGGAGGTGACTCTACCCTCCCACTTACCGTGGAGTGGCAGAGGAAACCGAAGACCACCATGACGATGGCCGGCGTCAAGATGCTACCAAACACCAGCCCCGCCAGGCAGGCGTTGACGGCAGCGATGACCAAGTTCTGAGCCGTCACCAGCACAGAGCAGGCCCAACAGTCTAGGGACCCCCGCAGCTCCAGCTGGGCTTCGCCGCCCGCCCCGCCCTCGGCTGCCGAGTAAGGCGGGGGCACCACCACGCGGGAGGGTGTCTCCCCTCCTCCTCCCACCGTGGGACTGGAGGCGAGTGATTGGTGGTTGCTGTGAGGGTGATGGTGAGGCGGCAGCTCTTCAGAAAGGTCCAGGACCTGATGGTGTGCCCCCTTTTCCAGAGTGCCAGTTATACTCATGGTGCACTGTGAGAAAGAAACATCAACAACAAGGGGATAAGGGAAAAAAGTCAGCGGTTGATTTTTTTTTGGGGGGGGGGTGGTTCACTTGTAGGTTCGTTGCCAAGCATGACGTCTATGGTGTGATGATTATCACGCTGCAGCTCATTGTTGTGTAAGCTAGCGAAGCTCAAAGTGTGTTCGTGCACATGGATGTTTTGAGATACCAATACGACAGATGGGCTATTTCTTCAATAAAAGACGAAAAAGTTAGTTAAGGTGGGCCTCCACCTTTTTATTCACGACAGATCATGTATCTCGTTTCAACGGTCTATGCTAGCTACGTAAAGAGACAATGAAGTGCTCTTTCACTGGATTATCATTGGACAAAGTACGGCACGGGGGACAAATCCGGCCCACCCACAGTCTCTGACCGGCCCTCACAGTGACCACATGTAGTCGAAATCAGACGTAAAAAAAAATATGCGTCACTTTCATTTCAAAGTTATGCTTTTTAAGCGCACACGTTTGCACGCTAGTACGAGCAGTCTCTGACCGGCCCTCATAGTGACCATGTAGTTAAAGTCAGACGTGAAAAAAAATACGCGTCGCTTTCATTTCAAAATTGTGCTTTTTAAGCGCACACGTTTGCACGCTAGTACGAGCAAGACTTCTATCTGAAGTGTTGCCAACTTAGCAACTTTTTCGCTATATTTAGTGACTTTTCCAATCTCTCTGTCAACTGTTTGTTTTTCTTAAAAAAAATAGAGAGACTAGCATAATTTACAAGTGGTTCTAATGCGAGCAACATCCTTATTAGCTGCACGGTGGAGGGAAGAGGGCCAAGATTTGCCCTTTACTGTTTCATTGCTCATATGTATCGGTTGTGTTCTCTGGATCATTGTCCATCGCAGCTAATATTATTATTACCTCCTACTTATCAACATATTTGGGAGTCCTGACTAGGAAAAGCTGATGTGAGTTGATAATTGATGCGCGATATTGTTGTCATTTTGTGTACATGTATTATTTTAATGACCGCTTCTCATTTTGTCGATATCGACACACGTAGTAATTTATATTAGCAAGACACGATGCCTTTTGTAACGACACTCAAAATAATATCGACGAAGATGAGGTTAAGCGTGTTTGGCAAGCATTCCAGTTTTTAATGTGGCTCCTGTATTGGTCATCAAGATATTTTGCTGATGTAAAATATGCCCCGCGGTGTGATAAGTTTGGGGAAACGCCGACATGCAAAAGGTAAATCATGGTCGTGTGGTGGACTCCACTCACATTTGTTGTTGTCGCTACGTGTGAGGCGCCCGATAGACCTCTTGCTGCTCCTCCAGGTTGTTGCTGCTTTTCCCGCTCGGGAGTTCACCTGAGTTTCTTGGTGGGGAAAAATCCTTTGCTCAAGAATTTCCCGCCGTGCTCGATGTTCCTCTGCAGTTTTTCTCTCAGCCGCAGCCGTTCTTTGTCTTGACTCATCTAATTGAGTCCACAGTGCTGTCTGGACCGGTCCTCCCTCCACTTTCTCCCCACCCACAAGGCTTATCAGCCCCCCACCCGGCCCAACCCAGCCCTCCTTCCCCATGCAACTCCCCTCAGCACATGCATTCCTCCTCTCCTATCCAGGGCATGTGTTGCACCCCCTTTCACCCCGCGCCTGTGTTTTCATGGGGGGATGGGTGTGCGAGCGTCTCCGAAGAATGTCTCTGCTCTTGAATGGCGCTTGAGGCCAGCAATGTGTGGGAGACGTCGATCCAGATATCGATAATGTCGATATCGGCGTCATGAGGTCGATAGTTTCAAGTTTAGCGGTACACTTGCGAAAAAGTACGATGAAGGGAGACGATCGATGTCCTATTTGGTTTGCAGGTTTCTAAGGTGCATTACGACAATACTGGAAAAAAAAAACAACAAGAGTATTTGTCCAAAGTCATCATGTAGTCGTATGGTAAGAAACAAGCTTCATATTTTTGAGACAATGCAAACTATATTTTGGATGAAAAAAGTTTGTTTTACTTTCAGCTGTTTTTTTACACTCAACTACATGTTCGAATGGAAAAAATATCTCTGCTTATGAAATCCCATGTGCGGGTTTCCCATGTCAAAACAACGAGGCACTCTAAAAATGCCAGCCAACCCAAAGTCATGGTGCGCATGCTTCCTCACAAATCAGCGCTTTGTATCCCCCCCCCCCCGACTCCTTGTGCTCTCACTTTTCTCGCTGTGGCGTACAAACACCTGTGGCGGACAATGAGGCACTCTAAAGCGGTCACGCCGGCGGACTATGCGAAGATGAGATGCATTTTCAAGGTGTTGGGATAGCGACCTTGCTAGGTGCATGGTGCAAATTGCATGTTGCAACCTGCAGTTGTACCTAATCAAATGGCCATGAGTTAATTGGTTCATCTGCATTTTTTTTTTTTAAATCACATGACCCCCAAAGCGTGTCAATGACAGGAAGTTCCCGTCCGTTCCCGTCCTGTGACCCGTTGCCACTTGTGCAACGTCCTTCCTCGAGTCGACACGAAAAAACTCCATCCTGCTTTTGTCGTGTTTATGAGAGAATTACCAGCCAGGGTATACAATTTGTCTCGGTTTTATTAATAGTCAGAATAATGTCACACAAGTTCACAAAGTGTTTTAAGACAAGTCTGGCTCAGTTTGGTGCATGTGTGTGTGTGTGTGTGTGTGTATGTGTGTGTGTGTGTACGAACTTTCTACACAGTGCATTTATAAATAGATGAGCACAAAGAAGGAAAATGGTCATATTGCAACAGGAAAAATAGAATTCTGATGAAAACAAACAGACAATTTTTAGCACCATCTATCCCATCGTCATCCTCAGATTATAGAATAAAATCAATGAAATTCCATCTAAAAGCCCCTCCCCCCCACCCTGCCCCCCAAAAAAAGGATAATCATACAAATTCTACGTGAGCAGTGCGTCTTTAGTCTACAGGAAAATGTGGCGTTAGATCTTTTCATATACATCAGAGGTGGGGGGGGGACCAAAACTATCATCAAAGGACAGCATGAAAATGAGGGGAAAGCCCTGTTTTGTTTTTTTGAAGAAAAAGGGGTGGCAAATGTTGTTGTCCAATAAATAGAGGGAATGTTTTTTTTTTAAATTAAATGTACAATTTCCCCTCTCCAAGAGGACGCAGACATACTGGAACAAAACAAGCAGGCGAGCACCAACCAAATGACGACAAAACAACTTTGAATATTCATCGTTTCCATGTCAAATCAATTATATATCAAAAAAAAAATTTAAAAAAACACACGCAAAGATAAAATGAACCCCGGCCCTAAAAACAAAAAAAAAAAATCTGAAAACCCGTATGTCTTGAAGCATTCCAAACAATTGTACATTTCAAAATTCTTAATGCTTTCGCAAAAAAACAAAACAAAAAACCCTCCATATTCTCTCTTATTAGTATTTTTTCCATTTCCTCTTTTCTAAATACAAGTGACAAGGCCAATGTGGTATATATATCTAGGCGAATCTAGTTTAAGAAAACCAATAAATTATTATTTTTTTTAAATTTCAAAACCAAACAGCATATACAAATGTATTCAGTATTCAAGACAACAAAGAGAAAAAAAAAACGAGTCATTTCACAAAGCACCATCCGAGAGGCATAAACTGCTGCGTCTTGATCTGTAAACAGTAAAAGGGAGTCAACAAACCCAGTCAACTACCTTCAAGAATCAACGTTGAAAGTGTTTTTTTTTTCTTTTCTTTTCTTTTGTCCTGACTCGCAGGAGTTTTGGTTGTGGCTGGCGACACGCAGGAAGGGAGTCCTGTCACCGTGACGAGGAGGAGGACGAGGAAGAGGAGGTGGAAGAGGAGGAGGAGGAGGAGGAGGAGGAGGCCTGGAAGAGAGGAAAGATGAGTCGTGGTAAGAGAAAGCACAAGCGACAAAACGTGGCGGGCGGGGGGTTCGGCGTACCAGGCTGAAGGAATCGTACGTGCCGGTGAGCTCCTCCATGGAGTATTGCTCCAGCACCACCACGTTGTTCAGGTTGGGGGTGCGCTCGCGGGCGCAGTCTTCGCAGTGGACCACGTACGTCTTCCTGCTGCTGCTCTCGCTCGTCACAAACAGCAAATTGAACACCTCCAGCTGCAGCGAAAAAAGACACGGCGCCATTATGGGATGTCTGGTCTGGAACGTTAAGCCCCTCCCCCCTCCCTCCGTTGTCGAGGGGGGGCGGGGCGCTACTGTACCACCCGTCCACCCATGGAGTGTAGGCTACTGAACTTAGGACGGCAGCAGGTGGAGCTCATCATTGCTATTCATTATTGTGCTTGTAGTTTGCTGGGATGGCCTCTAGAGGGAGCAAGGATCCCATCAAGGCTACTTACGTCACACTCGTTGCAGTAGTAGGCAGGCTCGTCCTTGACTCGGCCCTGGTAGGAGATCTTCTTGCCCTGAGCCACCAGCTGGTCACGCAGGATCTGGATGCGCTTCATGGACTGCAGCAGGCAGTGCCTGCAAAGCAACGCGGCGAGAAAAATTTAAAAATAAATCACCATGTACAGCCCGTCCACACTTCTTCAAATTAAGCCATTCAACGCATCTTACTCAGAACATTACATGACTTGGCTCCCCTGACCCAAAACTGTTCAGGATATCATATGGCTCCAAAAACGATAAAAATCCCAAATTGTCAAACCCACTTGACCCAAATTGTATAAATTGATCTAGTAAATGCCGAGGTGGTAGGCGAGATTAAATTAGCTAATGACAAACTCTGAAAGCAATCCTCACTTGATCATCTTGTAGGTGTCTGGGTCCGTGATCTTGAGCGTGCGGGCCACGTTCCACGACACGTGAATCATGGGGACGATGGACTTGACCTTCTTCACTTCGTTCCACTCAAACCTTTCCAGGGCCAGCTGGTACTGGTAAGCTGCGGGGAGCACACACGGCTGCTCTGAGCACGCGTCGCTTCGTCTCCGAGAGGTCTCTCTCCGCGTTTCCATGCGCTCTTACCGTTCAGGGGTCCCACGTTCCAGGCGATGTTGTTGCACCAGCCCACGGCCTGAACCCAGTGAACGGTCCCGGCGTTGATCCACACCAGGTCTCCCGGTCTCTGGATGAAACGGTACACCGGGATGTTGGCGTTGTAGAGGTCCTCCAACACGGGCCACCAGGAGCCCGTCAGGTAGTCCACCCCGTGCCTATTCAACGCATCTTACTCAGAACATTACATGACTTTGCTCTGTTCATGTCTCCAAAAAAAAAAAAAAAAAAAAAATGAAACTATAAAACCCCCAAGTTGTCAAACCCAACTGACCCAAATTGTACAAATCATTCCAGTAAAATTAAATTAGCTAATGACAAACTCTGAAAGCAATTCTCACTTGATCATCTTGTAGGTGTCTGGGTCCGTGATCTTGAGCGTGCGGGCCACGTTCCACGACACGTGAATCATGGGGACGATGGACTTGACCTTCTTCACTTCGTTCCACTCAAACCTTTCCAGGGCCAGCTGGTACTGGTAAGCTGCGGGGAGCACACACGGCTGCTCTGAGCACGCGTCGCTTCGTCTCCGAGAGGTCTCTCTCCGCGTTTCCATGCGCTCTTACCGTTCAGGGGTCCCACGTTCCAGGCGATGTTGTTGCACCAGCCCACGGCCTGAACCCAGTGAACGGTCCCGGCGTTGATCCACACCAGGTCTCCCGGTCTCTGGATGAAACGGTACACCGGGATGTTGGCGTTGTAGAGGTCCTCCAACACGGGCCACCAGGAGCCCGTCAGGTAGTCCACCCCGTGCCTGCGGCAAACGCAATCAACGCCATGACTCGGCGCTCTGAATCCGGGTGTGGCAAATCGGTGGGAAACTCGAAACGTTCAAATGTTGCGCAAATGTAACAGTTGGGGGGTCATATTGTGTGTTGATTCGTCATGCCCGGAGAGGGCCCAAGCATGATATTAACAAAAAAAAAAACGGTTGCAATATTATGAGGGAAAGGGTTATTAGCATGTTTAGAGAATAAAGAAATTTTGTGAAATATTGGCGAGGTGGGGAGTCATTTGATGAGGTGCCATATTATGAAAGGAAAAAAATGAACTCCAAAAGGGAAAACAAACTTGGGCAGCACGCTCGTTGACAGGTTGCGGGTTCCAATTTTTACAAAACGGTTTAATTCACAAGAAGAAAATTGTTTGTTTGTCGATAAGGGCAAAAGAAATAAATGTGACTTGACTCAATCGAAAATAAGCAGAAAGACATCCGAATATCACGACGAAAGAAATTATCGTTTCAAGAGTGGAGAAAACAAAGCAACACAAATTTGGAACGACACAAACGACACCTGGCAACGGAATGACTTTTTTCGATTCTCATCCCAACCCCGGCAAGACCCGAACGGAAATCCGTTCTTCAAATGGGCGCCATCCGGCTCGGCTACTCACTTCTCACAGAAGTCGTTGATGGCCTGCCAGTAGTTCTCGTGCACAGAGAACCACTCGCAGTCTCCGGGGCCGATGTTGATGTTCACCGAGCAGAAGTTGTTGTTCTCCTGATGGCCTGTGGCAAGCACGACGACGTACTTGGTCAGTTACGCGCCGCTGCCTTTCCGGGTTAAATGTGGATCGGTCGCAAAGGGCTTACTTACCCGGCGTCCGGCTCCCCGGCACCTTCATGTAGAGCTGGACGGTGTTCATCCCCAGGATGGTGTGTCCCACGTGGCTCAGCATGTTCCCACTGGATGCCACACGCATGAACGCAGGCAGCTTTTGGAGCTCTTGCAGTTGCGGTTTCCACCTGAAGGACAACAAAGTTGTTGTCGTCACTGTCGGCGTTGGGGCGGAGGTGTTCCGGCAGCTCGGCCGAGACTGAGCGGCAACGGCGCTTACCTCTTGGGGTCCGACAGGTCGATATTGGTGCCAAATTTAATGATCTTCCCCGCTGGCTTCTGATCGCCACTGTGGGGAATTGACACCATTGAGTGTTGGGTGGGCAGTGCAAAAAAAAAACAAACTGATGTGTTGTTTTTGTTTTTTGAACTCAATTGAGTGGTGCCTCTACTTCCGAAATTACTTGGTTCTGGAAGAAATTTCTGAACTTGAAAATTTTGTAAGTAGAGACGCCTTTTGCATGTAAATGCCCTAATCCGTTCCAAGCCGTCCCAAAATTTAGACATAAATGTTTTTCATAAAAATGCATCAAAATATGTAACAAATACATGTTACATTTCGATGATTGTACAATAAATGAGAGTTGTGCATAATGTAAAAATCCAAGAAGTCCCTCTTAACCAATGGGATGGCAGGATGATGCTCGGTAATAGCCAATGGCAGAGCAGCTATAAGTATGTTGCGTTCAGGAAACTCAGAGCTGCGAGTTGCAGGCCATACTGTATTTTTACCTTTCGTATCTCGAAATTTCTTTCGAACCAAGAGGCAATATTTTCCTGTTGAGGCGTTTCGTAACTTGAACATTTCGTATGAAGATACGTTTGTAAGCAGAGGTCCCACTGTACTGCAATTGCGATTTATATGCAAATTTTTTTTCAAGATCCTCTTCCCACATATTTTTTTCCCACACATTCGCCTGCATCACAATAAACAATCTCAGATTTCTACCACATGAATGTTTTGTTCCATTAGGTGACGCTCAAGCTAAAATAAAGGCAAATGAACAATGAATTCAAATTCAACCGTTTAATTATCCTCTTCAATTAGAGTTGTTAAGTTATTCAATGGGCTCGCTTCAACTTCACACCATTCGGCCAAACAAGTGTGGCGTAAACATCAACCAGTAAACAGATTACAACAAGAATGCAAACAAATCTGCGGTTTTGTCACTTCACCTTCTCACAATGACATATAAATACGTGGACCGCGCTCCTTAAGTAACCAACTTATCGAGACACCGCGTGAATAAATGACCTTACCTGCCACTTTCTTTTGCGTTGTTGTCCTTGGTTGGGGTTTCCGCGTTGCTGGGCGGCTTCTTGTCATCTTCTTCTTCGTCGTCATTGTCGTCCTCATCCTCCTCCTCCTCATCGCTGCCTTTCTCCTCCTATCACACGGCACGGTCGCATTGCGTTCACAGCTTCCTCGCGGCGTCGGCCGCGGCTGAAGTGCTGCGGCCCTCACCTGCAGGCTCTCCTGGAAGCTGGACGCCTGGTACTGGGCGTACTTGGCGATGGTGGTGTGGGAACGGCTGCTTTCACAAGGCCACGTCTGACCCGTCCCGCTGGGGTCCCAGTTCTCGTCTGCCGGCTGCTGGACCTGAGTCCTCACCTCTACCGCCTGCTCCGCGTTGGCCTCCACCAGAGACTTGGTGGAAAACAGGCCCAAGTCTGACAAACGGAAAGGGGGCGCAGGGGGGGAATGTTAGACGCGTGTCATTGTTGGAGGGAAAAACATCCCAGGCGCGAGTACGAACTTACTGATCCGCAGAGATCCAGCCAGTCCTCGGATGACCGTGACGGGATTCTTTGGGTCTGTGCAGAACTGCAGCAGCACTGGAGAGAAGGCGTCCCTCTTGCTCTCCAACTGCACAAACAAAAGAAAAAGAATGAATCATGACACCTTTTTTTTTTTTTGTTTGTTTTCAATTTCATTCGAGTGGCGGCGTCGCTGAAGCTGGCTTGCATGTCAAATTTTGTCTCGCAACCCAAAGCGTAAAGGTCGATCAAGCCACAGCTGGGACGTCAAAAATTGCCGAATGGCATTCAGTAAACCACTTGAGTGACGTCGCTAGTCCATTGTCTTACGTAAATGCTGGGCGTGGGAGGGTTGAGTTTCTCCCTCGGAATTGGCTCCTCCGACGTCATGGTTGGCTTGACAGAGAAGGCCGGCAGCAAGAAGGACTCCCTGAACTTCCCTTTCACTCTGGCCCCCCTGGGACAAAATAGATTGGCGGTTTATTGAGCGAGCGTTGGGGAAATGTTCACATGAAAGGCCCGTCGGACGGGTCCCATGCGACGCACTCACTTGCAAGATCGGATTATTTCCGCAGCCGTGTTCTTGATGCTGATCTCTCCCAGGGGGATCCTCTTGTCCTCCACCTCGGAGGCGATGAAGGTCTCTCGGTCGCCGCTCTCCACTTTGATCAGTCGGATTTTCAGCTCCTTGGGGGGCCCGTCCGACAGCGCCTTCAGCTTCAGCAAGTCCAGCGACGAGCCCGAATCGCCGCTTTTCTTCGACCTCCACTCCGCGTGCTCGCCCTCGCCGGCGGAGGCGGCGCCGGACGCGTCCTTGCGTTTCTTTTTCTCGGAGTCATGATGACCGCGGCTCTTTCCCTCCTTGCTCTGGAGGTTGAGGTCGCACAGGATCCGTCGGTCCTTCTTGTCCTTGTGGCTTTTGCCCTCCTTGTGCCGCCTGTGGCTGCCGCCGGAAGATGACGAAGAAGACGAGGAGAAGATGGTCTCCTCCCTCTTGTCTCGGTGCTTCTTCCTCTCTCTTGCGTCTTCCTGCTTGTGGCCGTGAGCGTGCTTCCTCTTCTTGTCTTTCTCCCGCTCTCTGTCCTTGTGTCGCTCCTTGTCGCGGTGCTCCTTCACTCTGTCCGGCTTGTGCCCGTCCTCGGCTTTGGCGTGGCGCACGGGTTTGTCCGGTTCGCCGCAGAGAGCGAGCTGGCGGCCGTCGGTCAGCTCTGCCAGGGATGACTCGGAGATGGTCGTCAAACGTTGCTCCTCCTTGATGGCGTGGTAAAGCGTCACAGTGGGCGCCGTCTCCTTTCGGACCGTCCTCCCGACTGCGATGCTGTCGTCGGCGGGATCCACTTTCAACTTCTCGCTTTCAAGCGGAGGGGGCGGGGGGGAGGACTTTGAGGGAGGTACCGCTGGACTGAAAGGAGCGTTGGCGGAATCAGACGTGGGCGAGCCGCCGTGCTGTTGCCGGCAAATATCGGGTCCCAGCGAGAGCGACGAGGAATATTTGACGCCGAGCAGCGCCGACGGCGGGGGTCTCCCGAAAGGTCCGCCTCGGTACGCGTACTTCTGGCTCTCCATGCCCGTGGCCCGAGACTTGAACGTGCTGTTGACGTCCGTTTGGTGGAGGTGGGGTCTTTGAGGCGGCGGGGAACATGACGGGGTCTCGGAATCCTCATCCTCCTCATCCTCCTCCGCCTCGCTTTTCGCCTGCTCAGGAAGACCGTAAAGTTTGGCCAGGTCGCTGTGGCGGTAGGTGCTGTTTCCCGCACCCGCGTTTTGGGGAAAGCTTCCAAGGTAATCTTCCTCCTCTTCCTCTTCCTCCACCTCGTCGGGAAGAGAAGAAGTGCGGCTGCAAGGGGAAGCCAGCGAGCCTTGGCGGCTGAGCACGGGCGGGCTCGCGTGGGGGTCGGCCCCAAAGTCTTCCTGATGCTTGAGCGCCGGCAGCAGGTCGGGGGCGCAAAGGTAATTCTTGACGGGAGGGACGCTGGGCGCAAACGATTCCAGGAGACCCTCGCTGTACATCTCCTCCTCCTTTTTGATGGATTCATCCAGCATGGCCATGATGTTGGCGAGGCCGTCGGGGAGCAGCGTGGACAACTCCGAAGGCTCCTCCTCGAAGGGAGAGCTGTCCGAGCGCAGGGCGGGCGCGGGCAGAGGGGGGGCCGGCGGGTTCTCTCTGGGAAACGCCTGATAGAGCTTGGGGGGCTCTCGGAGCGCGGGCAGAGAGCCGGCCGGAGAGTCTTTGGACTGTTTGGGCGCAGCCTGCATGGCGGGGGGCTTGCCGGAGTAGAGCGGCTGGTGCTGCTGGTTCATCCCTGAGGTATTGTGTGTCGGAGGGGGGCTCCCCCACATCTCCCGCTGCCTCTGCTTCTCGCGGGCGTAGTCCGTCTGCGGCGTGAGCGGAGGCGGTCGCAACCTTTCCAGGGGGGCACCGTTGACAGCCCCCTGGACCGAAGCGCCGCCGCGGCTCAGCCACGGGTAGGGAGGCGAGGCCCGCAAGGAGGCGGGGGCCGCAGGAGCGGCGGGGGGTGCGGGTGCCGGAGAGGGCCGTGCGGCTGGGGCCGCGTTGCCGCACAGAAGTCTTTCCAGACTCTCCATGGCGGTCTGCTCTTGAGCCTTTTTCCGCATGCGTTCCTCCTCCCTCCTCTTCTTCTCCTCCTCTTCCTTCCTTTCTCTCAGCATCCTCTGGCGCTCCTCCTCTTCTCGCCTCCTTTTCTCCTCCGCTTGCCTTTCCCACTCTCTCCTCTTGCGCTCTCGCTCTTGCTTCTCCCATTCCCTCTTCTTCCTTTCCTCCTCCTGCCGCATCTCCACTTCCCTCCTCTTCCTCTCTTGCTCCTGCATCTCCCACTCTCTCCTCCGCCGACGCTCCTCCTCCTCCCTTTGCTCCATCTCTCTCTTCTTCCTCTCCTCCTCCCTCTTTTGCTCCTCCCTCCTCTTCCTCTCCTCCTCGTGCTTTTGCTTCATCTCCGACTCTCTCTTGCGCCGCTCTTCGTCCTCTCTGTCCTTCCTCCTCCTCTCCTCGGCTTGCATGTGGCCCTCGAGCTCCGCATCGAGCTTGTCCAGCGCCTCCACGATGGACTGAGGGGCCGAAGCGGGAACTGGGTGAATCTGCCGCTGACAGTACGCCTGCGTCGGCACCTGCCGGTGGCTGGAAGATTGGAAGTACACGGGAGGAGAACTGGGAGCGGGCTTTGACACTCTGCTCATAATGACGCTGTCCCCCGTCCTGGGGAGCCCTGAGGAGAACAAAGACGACGACGTAGAACACGCGGGAACCTGCGCCACTTGAGCCTGAGGATAGAAGGAGGTCTTCGCCTTGTCGGCCTTGAGGGGTCCGTTTTCTTGAGGTCTTCCTCGTACCTCGTGGCGAGACTGGCTGGCATTCGGCTGAGGGCCGGGGGGGCATCTGTGGGGACCTCCGGTGGAGCTTTGGGGCGCCGGCTCACTCCGCTGGTTCCTATTGGTGCCGTTCACCTGGCAACCGCCATCTGAGCCATGGCGGTTGCCATAGCCACTGACGGAGCAGGAGGAACGGTTCGGGGTGATGACAGGGGTGCGAGTAGAGATGACGGGGGGCGGGCTGATGTGGGGTTGATGCTGACTGTCTGGACCCTGATTGTGGCTCTGCTGGTGATGAGGTATCAGTTCTGGAGGTCTGGAGAAGCCGGAATCCTGAGGCACGACATGAACATTATTATCAGCAATCATCACATGTAAACACTTGGGCTCTGGTTTATGAAATCGCACGTTCACCCCTCGAACAATTGAAAAGAAGGTTTGACGCTTTTCGCAGCGCTGATGATTTTCACCATGAAATATTTGGGAAAGTATCGCAAGTTTGAAGTGATGGGATGGGAAGCCAAACAATGACGTTCCGAGTGCACCGAATTGACCCCGACGCATGCAAATGCAGAGTTGAAAAGAAGTGACGCATAAGTGACGTTGCATGACTCCTTCTTGTGACTCCTAAATTGCAGTGCTGGAGAGACGATACGTTCTGAAGATTTTTGTTTCTGGAATTTCAAAAATGTTTACATGAGTCAAAAATGTTTGTTCCTCCCGTCGCCAATAAGCAGAGTCATGCTAAATTCAACTATTTGAATTTACTCCTCCCAGAACAAGTCAAATTAACTTTTTCGCCGTATAGCTCAAGCCAACCTTCCGGTGTTACTCAAGTCTACAACTCACCAGGGGGTGGTTGCTGGGCCTAGTCTGGTACCTCCACACGTCATAGGGCCCACTCTGCTGAGGTACTGAGGTGACACTGGTCGGAGGTGGTGGAGGCGCAGGGGGGCCACGCTGCCCTAGTCCTGGGTGAGGCTGAAAGTGGCTGTAAGGCACACTGCTGCTGCTGCTGCTGCTGCTGCTGGCTGGGGGTTTTGCTGGTGAAGACTGGACGTGCCGATGCTGATCTCTGTCCCCTCTGGCGGGGGCTGGCGCCGCAATGAGAGGGCCTCTATGGCTGTGGGGCTCCATGGCCTGGCAGGGAGGAGCTGGCCCCAGTTTGGAAAGGGGGCCGCGATAGGAAGAGTGGGGGGACTGCTGGTTGACAGCCTGAGGTTGAAAGCAGTCTCGCTGCAGAGGAGGCGCGCCGCCACCTGGGTTGTAGCTCGCAGGCGAGTTCAGGGGAGGCGACGCGGTGGAGGGAGAGGGCGTGGCCGGTGGTGTCTTTTGGGGGTAGCTGCCTAGTGCTTGTTTGTGGGCCTCCTGAAAGGTGAAAGAAAAATGCAAGATCAACGTTTGGTGTGATGTTCGGATCAACGAGAGCAGCAATAATCGCAAAAAATCTCACGGTTCGGCCTTGGAACTCCGGTGGTGACGGGTTCTTGCGATCACAACTCTGAGGCTGCCAGCTACTGCTGTCCTTCTGAAGGGGGTTCCAGAAGGCTGGCTTGGGGTGGTGGGGCTGAGATATCAAAGCCTGGCCCGGTCCAGGAAAGCGCTGCTGGCCAGGGTGCGAGACCTGCACGGGTAAAATGATGATAAGGTGAGTAAAAGAGCAAAGACTTTGGAAAGCATTCCAAAAAGGAAAAGCTCTTTTGCGTTACCTGATCGGAACTCTTTTTCCTCTTGTTTGGGCTGGGCCAATCCTCTGTGGACGAGCGGGTGGGCGCGTGCACAGAAAGCGACGGAGTGTGCTGGATGACAGAGTGTTCACCGAGCTGAGGGCGCGGTCTCTTCAGCTGACTACCGGGCATCTTGCCAATGTGTCCCCTCTGCTGCTAAGAGGGCATTTCGAGTCGCAGTGAGAGAGAGTGTGTGTCGCCGCACGAGTGACGATTGCGATTGCCGTCGCGTGCGCGGGCGCTGAAACGCGATCCCAGCCAATCACAGAGCGCTCACCTGATTCACCTGAGCCCACATGTCGTCTCCCAGCAGTGGTGGCCCCCGGGGGGCATGATGCTCCTGAGGACCCCCAAACTTAACAGACAGCAGAAGGAGAAAAAAAACATTCAACAACAGGTGCAAAAACTCGTGTCTGACTTCAACACGAGCAAATCAACTCACCTTTAGCGGTTGGTTCGGCCTACTGGCAGGGAGATGCGGGGGAGGGGGGGCCCCGCCGCTGCCCGCGTAGCCGCCATTATGGAGGCGGAGCGAGTGCTCGGGGAGAGTCACGCCTGGATGTCCTTGGGGAGGATGGTGGGATTCGTACAGCTGGCTGAGTTGCTCCCATGCCCGGTGAGGAGGGGGAGGATGAAGATGATGAAGAGGATGATGAGGAAGCGGCCTCAGCTGCTCCCTCGGCAGACTCGGCAACATTGGCTGTGGGAGATCCAGCTTCTCCCCTCCTCGTATGGGCCTGGAAAAGGACAGAAAAAAAAAAAAAAAGCAGTCAACTAAAGTTGCAGGTCACGTCCATTTTTGCCTTTGAC